GAGACAGCGTGCAAGGAGACACCGACAGGCCTCTCTGCCTCTCTTGCTCTCTCTCTCTCCTCCGGCACAGCGTTGCCAGCGTCTTGCCTCCGAGGCACATGCTGGTGTGATGCTGTTGTACCAGAAAGGGGTACAGATGTTCAGAAATATCTTGTTTTGTACAGAGCTCTCTCTTCTCTTTATTTTTCCCCCCCCCCGTCTCTTTGCTTTGCCTCCTCGTGCTAACAAGAGAATCAGCTGGAAGGGACCCTTGGAGGTCTTCTAGTCCAGCCCTCTGCTCAGGAAGGAGAGCCTATACCAGGGATAGCTAACCTTTTCCGGACCCAGTGCCCAAAATGTGCCCGAACCCCCAAAATGTGTGTGCGACCCACTGCATGCGGCCTTACCCTCCTGCCCGCACATGCATCCCGCCCCTGCACATGCATGACAGAGACCTGAAGACAAGCTGGCCGGCAGGAGGCGCGCGCATTTGCGCAGCACAGTTGAACTGGGGCAATGGCTTGCGTGCCATCAGAGAGGGCACGCAAGTTGCGTGCCACCTCTGGCACGCATGCCACCTCTGGCACGCGTGCCATAGGTTTGCCATCACGGGCCTATACCACTTGAGACAAGTGACTGTCCAGTCTCTTCTTAAAAGCCTCCAGTGATGAAGCACCCACAACTTCCGGTGGCGAGCTGTTCCACTGGTTAATTGTTCTTAAGTTTTAGGAAGCTTCTCCTTAATTCCAGGTTGCTTCTCTCCTTGATTACTTTCCATCCATCGTTTCTTGTTTTGCCTTCTGGTGCTTTGGAGAAGAGATTGTCCCCCCCTCTTCTTTGGGGCAGCCCCTCAAAATACTGGAATACTGCTGCGATGTCCCCCCTTTTCTTTAGACTAGCCAAACCCAAATCCCGCAACCTTTCTTCGTTTTAGTCCCTAAGCCTAGGCCTAAAATCAACTTGCAATTACTGCGAGTTCAAATCTCACCAAGCTCAAGGTTGACTCCGCCTTCCATCCTTCCGAGGGAGGTAAAATGAGGACCTGGATTGTGGGGGAAATAAGCTGACTTTGTATAAAAAAGGACACCGCTTTGGGGGGGCCCCAAAAAGCCCTACTAAGCAGGGATATACAAAAGGATGAAGGCTATTGCTTAACGCATTGTAAGACGCTCTGAGTCTCCGGAGAAGGGCGGCATATAAATTGAACCAATAAATAAATCTTACTTGCTCTCCTTTGCACTTTTTCCAAAGTCTCAACATTTTTTTTGTAACATGGTGACCAAAACTGGATGCAGAATTCCAGCTGTGGCCTTACTAAGGCTTTGTAAAGCTGTACTAACACTTCCAAGTGATTTTGACTGTGCCTCTGTTTATGCATCCAAGGATTGTATTTTTTGGCTGCTGCCACACACTTCTGGCTCATCTTTAAGGGATCTTCTACTAGGACTCCAAAGTCCCTCTCACAGTTAAGTTTTTGAGCCACGTTTGGCCTAATCTATATTTTGGCTTTTCTTGCCCAGGTCTTTAAAACATTTGCTTTTCTCCACATTGAATTGCATGTTTGTTCAAGTCTGTCAAGATCTTTTTGGATCCTGAGCTCGTCTTCTGGGACGTTGGCTATTCCTGCCAGTTTAGTGTCATCTGCAAACTTGATGAGTTCTCCGTCTATTTATTTATTTATTTATTGGCTCGATTTATATGCCGCCCTTCTCCGGAGACTCAGGGCGTCTTACAATGCGCTAAGCAATAGCCTTCATCCTTTTGTATATTTTATACAAAGTCAGTTTATTGCCCCCACAAACTGGGTCCTCATTTCACCTACCTTAGAAAGGATGGAAGGCTGAGTCGACCTTGAGCCTGGGGAGATTCGAACCAGCAGAAATTGCAGGCAGCTGTGTTAATAAAGGGGTGCGTAGACCACTGTACTATCAAGGCTCTTGATATACTTTTGTATATACCTGCTTAGTAGGGCTTTTTGGGCCCCCCTAAGCGGTGTTCTTTTTTATACAAAGTCAACTTATTGCCCCCACAAACCAGGTCCTCATTTTACCTACCTCGGAAGGATGGAAGGCTGAGTCAACCTTGAGCCTGGTGAGATTCGAACTTGCAGTAATTGCAGGCAGCTGGTGCTACTTAACAGCACTTTAGTCTGCTGCGCCACCAAGGCTCTTCTATCGTCTAACCCCTCATCTAAGCCATATATGAAGATATTGAAGAGTCCTGGGCCTAAGACGGAGCCTTGGGGTACCCCACTTCTTACTATTCATCCATGGAGATGCAGTTCCATTGAGGAGTTACACGTTGAGTGCGGTTGGTCAGCCAGTTACGAATCCATCTGGTGGTGATGCTGTCTAACCCACATTTTTCTATCTTTTATTTATTTGTCACATTTTTATGCCGCTGTCAAGTTTCAAGGTCGTCTCAAATAAATTGCATTTCAAACAAAGTCTTTGATGAAAAACTCAAATTTATTAAGCATGACATTCTAATTCCGACTCCCATCACAGCCAACACTGACTTCCAGACTCAAAACCCTCCCTTTCCTTTCCCCACTCCTCTGCACTCATTGGCCATCTTCCAAGTCACTCTACCCCTAATCTACTGCTCCAGCTCAAAGGAATTTCCCCCCTCCCATCCCATCTCCTAGGGGATATTATCTCCAGGGAAAATAAGTAGGTGAAAAGTCAAACGTCCCTTTCCAGACGCCTCCGCTTCTCCTTATGTCAGCACTAGAGTAAATGCAGCTTGAAGTGCTGACAGCCACCCAACTCCCAAGGGACTCTGGGAGTTATCAAGTAGTAGGCTATGGTCTACTTTGTCAAATGCCTTATTGACGTCCAAGTAAATTATATCCACAGCACTCCTCTGGTCCACTAATTTTGTCATCTTCTCAAATTAGGTTATGGCTTCAAGTCCTCAACTTACAATTCTTTATTTAGTGACTGTTTGAATTTACAAGGGGAGGCGAGTCTGGGCCAATCCCATTCTCTTCTCAATCCAGTCTACCTCCCAAGGTTGTTGTGAAAATAGGAGGGAGGGAGGGCTACGTGCACCACTTACACAGGTAGTCCTTGACTTACAGCCATTAGTTTAGTGTTCGAAGTTACAACGGTGCAGAAAAGTGACTTATGACCATTTTCACACTTAATGACGGTTGCAGCATCCCCATGGTCACGTGATTGAAATTCAGACTCAACAACCGACTGGGATTTATGAGATTTCAGTGTCCAGGGATCGTGTGACAACGGCGGCAAGAAAGGTCCTAAAATGGGGCAGTGACAAAGGTCTCACTTGAAGAACAGAAATGTTGAACTTTAGCTAGTTTTATAATATTTGGATGAATCATAAAAAAAAAAAGGGTTAACTCACAAGGATGCTATTAATACTTATATGGAGAATTCAAAGTGTTTTTTAAAAATGTGGTGTAGTGTAAACAACGTTCTAACAAGTAGGTTTGGACCCAGAAAATAACAAAGGTTGTAATGACACACATAATCACAAAAAGGTGTGCTTGTTATTTTCTATGCCTCCGAGTGTTAACTTGGGAGTCTTAGTGGACAATCAGTGAAATGTGAGATGTTAGGAAACTAATCGAGGAGAGAAGCAACCTGCAATTAAGGAGAAACTTGCTAAAAGTTAGAACAATTAGCCAGTGGAACGGCTTGCCACTAGAAGTCGTGGGTGCTCCATCACTGCATGTTTTAAAGAAAAGATTGGACCACCATTTGTCTGGAATGCTATATTGTAGTGATGACTAACCTTTTTGCCATCGTGTGCCAAAAGTATGGGGAGCGTGGGGAGCACATGCCCACACCCATAATTCTATACGTCCTGCCGTGTGTGTGACCCTCCCAACCTCCCCCCCCCGCTTTTGGCACGTGATGGCACAGTGGGCCCAGTAGGCCTGTTTTTTGCTCTCCCCAGGCTCCAGAGCCTCTCTAGGAGCCTGGGGAGGCCAAAAATGGCCCATTTGCCGACTTCCAGTGCCACCTCTGGGGGCCTGGGGAAGACTGTTTTCGCCCTCCCCAGGCTCCTAGAGAGGCTCTGGAGCCTGGGGAGAGCAAAAAACAGGCCTTCCCTACCCCCACAGGCCCTCTGGAGGCAGGAAACAGCCTGTTTCCCTACTTACAGGTGGCCCAGAAGGCCCAAAAATCGGAGCTGAGCTTGCATGCCACCTGTGGCATGCTTGCCATAGGTTCGCCATCACGGCTATATAAGGTCTCCCGCTTGAGCAGGGGGTTGGACTAGAAGACCTCCAAGGTCCCTTCCAACTGTTATTATTCTGGAATGTATATATTGCAAGTCCGTGTATGACCTGCCATATGCTAAATAAAGAAAACTGGGCCAAATCCAAGACTTTTGGATTCAACTACGGCGTTGCTTCCTCCGGAGGGCAAACCAGCTGATGGAATAATCTGCAGCCTTGGCCAGCAGCGACTCGGCTCTTTTCAAAACTTTCTCCATAGGCTTTGATGCTCCAGCAAAGGTGTTCACCTTCCTGGGTCGAAAAGCATCAGACGCAGTCCTTGACTTACAACAGTTCATTTAGTGACCTTTCAAAGTTACAACGGCACAGAAAATAAGTGACTTATGACCGTTTTTCGCACTTACAATTACTGCAGCACACACACACACACACACCCGTGGTCACATGATCCAAAATTCAGACATTTGGCAACTGACTCATATTTATGACGGTTGGCGTGTCCCAGGGTCACGTGATCCCCTTTTGGGACCAAGCGATGTCGATAGGGAAGCCAGATTCACTTAACATCCGTGTAACTAACCTAACAATTGCAGCGATTCACTTAACAAGTGACAAAAAATTTTTTTAACATAACGTAAAACTCGTTAAAAAAAATGTTTCACTTAACAACATCCGTTTTGGGCTCAATTATGGTTGTAAGTCAAGGACTACACCTTTCTTTCAAGTCTACACCCCCATCCCTCACCCACTGGCCCTCCCGCCACCCCCACCCACCGCAACTCTCCCACAATAATCACATTTTCCAAGCTGCCACTTTGGGTTTTTGTTTTTCCTTTTAATGACGGAGCAAGTCAGGTTTTGCATTTTTTTCAAACAGTGATTGCATCAAGACAGCGTCTCTAACTCTATATATAGAGAGAGAAAAAAAGTTGCAGCTTATCAGGATGAACGACAACACTTCGATTAACACCTGTTAATTTTTTTTGTCCCCCCCCCTAACAACTACATCTAGTGCTTTCAACGCACCCGGGATCCATGCAGTGCTACGGAAACAATATACACAACAAGAGACATTTGTGCCTCCGCTTTATGAAACAACAGGGAAGAAAATCTCACACGGGAAGGTTGACTAAGCCAACTCTTTTTTTCTTCTTCTTCTTCACACAAACGAAAACAGGTCTGAAATGCAACAGCCTTTGATTTGAACTGAATGACCGACACCCGGAGATGGCCTATAAACCGGGGGCACTGTCGTCTTTTCCAGTTCACCGAAATCCCACCAAGGTCTTTGATAGCCAAAAGCGGGCCTGGAATTCTCTCGTCTCAAAAACTCAGGTTTTCCGTGGCGTACAAATTCCATTTTTATTGTTTGGCCTTCCGTGCCAACAAGCAGAAAACAGAAGCTAAGGCGTTTTGGAAAGCCAGGGCAAGCAGAATTTCAGCTCAAAGTCTCCTTAGAAGATTCCTACAGGTTCTTTAGACCAGATGTTTTGGCTACAGATGTGAGAAAGAAAGAGAGAGAAAAAAAATACCAACAGCATCTGTCATTGGCTTTCCCAGGTTCTTCCTGGCCTGTTTCTCACTTTACCCAGAAGATTCCTCTGATCATACATACATTCACCCAGGAACTCATGAGAAGCTTTGCAAACGAGAGAGAAAGAGAGAGGGAGAGAGAGAAGGGGAAAAAAAAAAGGACATTGATGGAAAGTTCAGAGAAAAGTCCATGCCTTTTAAGAAAACGCACGTGGCTCTAGCTTTCGCCTGGCATCACTCCTGCGTGCCTCGAGCTGTTTGGAGAACAAGCCAGGATTCCTGGTCTAGAGAGGACAAAGGTGGCCATTCTGCTTCCTTAGGGCAAGGAGGGGCCGAGCGAGAGCAACTGAGCTGGGAGGGGGGGGCATCTTTTGGGTGCTGGGTAAGCCAGAGTCGGCGATGATGCCTCCCCCCCCCCGCCGAACAGGTTCTCGCGCAGCCAGCCCCTCCCCAATTGAGACAGAAAGAGACAATCGTACCAGGTTTCAAATAATTCATGTTAGATACTAACGACCATGCTCTGCAGGCGACGAGCATTTAGATAATAAAAATTATGGGGAACACTGTCCCCGATAATTATAAAGACACCCTTTAGTGCAACATATGGAGGTCACTGCCTCCGATACAACACTTCTGGTAGGCAAAAGCTACCTTGTTCTTGGACATTATGGGAGACCCTGCCCCCGATAATGAGATTCACGTTCACTGTGCAGGACTGGAGTTTGCTCTGCAGGACTGGAGGCGGTGCGGCAACGGCCCAGAGATGGGTACAAAAAGCCTGCAGCCAGCTCCCTTCCGCTTAGCCCTCGCCGGCAAAGGCGGGGTGGAAGGGGGGGGCTAGGTGGAAGCCCACATGGGGAGGGGGTCTGCAGTTGCTGGCCACTCCTGGATAGGCAGAAATCTAGGGAATGTGGACAAGATCCCCCTGGGTCTGTAGCAGGGGGGGGGGGGATCTCCAACCTTGGCCACTTTTAAGACTTGTGGCCTTCAACTCCCAGAGTTCCTCCGACAGCATAGCTTACTCTCTTGCAATCCCTTCCTCTGCAATCTCTCTCCTCTTTGAAGGAGAAAAAGAAACAAGACACGGCTGGCTGGCTGAGGAATTCTGGGAGTTGAAGGCCACAAGTCTTAAAAGTGGCCGAGGTTGGAGATCCAGAGGGATCGAGGCCAACCCTCCAAACAGGCCGACGGCCAGAATTTAAAGCAGGCACAGCTGCTCAAATCCTGGGGCGTCAAGTCCAGAACATCTGGAGGGCGCCAAGGTGTTTTCTGCCCTCCCGCCGCGCACCACGGAAGAGGCAGCGGCTGCAGACCCTCTCCTTGGTGAGCTCTTAAAAGCGCCGCAGCGGAGGGAAATCCACTTCCCCGTTTCTAAAACCTTGGGGTTCCCCCCTCCCCCAAGATGTTCACCGCCGTTCCTGCAGGCCAGTGAAGGCTCAAGGGCTTCAAATCTCCAGTTCTCCTCAGGGTTAGCAGATGCTGCTTTTATTACTTATATCAAAAAAACGACAGTATAACTGTCATAATTATGGAAGTCACTGCTTCCGATAATTATATTCGGTAGAACACAAATAGCATTTATAGTGAACACTGTCACTGATAAATAAATAACTAATAAATATATCTTCAGGACCAAGAGTCCAGGTGAACTCACCCTCCTCCACCGGTGCGACCGACGGAAAGGCGCTCGTGTTTTCCCGGTAGGCCGCAACGCAAGGAGACAAAGACAAAATCCGGGCTCTCCCCGAAAAGGGCTTCCCGTTGCCAATTCCTAAATCGTGCCCGCCGGATCCATCCCATTCACCTCATTTCCCGAGTAAGCGGCCGGAGGGGAACTGGACAGAAGGCAGAAAGCTCCACGTTCCAGGGCCGATGCAAAAGGCTCTTAATAAAAAATGTGCGGGAGGACTCGAACTCGGCTCCCGCCTTCCCAAGCAGTCGACGGCTAACCAATTTTAAGCCTTTTCGTTTCGCGGGAGGAGTTTCGTGCCAACTGGAACGTGGTCGGCTTACGGACTTTCTGTGCAGCCGGACGCCAGCGTTCGCTTACTCGAAAAAAGCAGAAATTCCTTTTAAGATTGCCAAGGGGGCTGATTAGCAACATTGGGCAGAGACGTCAACTTGCATCTAAAAAATCCCTCCCAAGATTCGAATCCCACCTTCCTCGACTTTGGGGGGCCTCTAAAAAATTCTGCTGAAAAGCTAAAGGGGAAGGTGTAAACTGTGCAACGGGTTGCGGGAAGAGGGTGTGTGGGCGAGGGGTGGTCTTTTGGGAAGGTAGTAGGGATGGGGGTTTTCAGAGCTCGTTGTTGATGTCCCAAACGTCGCCGGCCAGGGCGTTTGCTGCTCCTTGGATGGTCCACGTCAAGAGAGCCAGCTGGTTCTTGAAGAGGACTTCGTCGAAAGCGCTGGCGTTGGTCTTTAGCAGGCTGACGTGTTCCAGCAGGGCCTGGGCGGTGTGGGATCCGGAGCCCAGGAGGATGTGGCGGAAGGGCGTGTCCTTGGGGGAGACGTATGGGGAGAGGAACTGGTACTCCACCTGCGAAGAAAGGCAAGGGTTGAAGGTTTTGCATAACGCGGCCACTTTTTAAGATGTGTGGACTTCAATTCCCAGAATTCCCCAGCCAGCAACACTTAGTCAAAAGACACAACTAAAAAGAGGTTGAGGCTTTGGGAAAAAGCGCAGAGAAGAGCAACTAAGATGATGAAAGGCCTGGAGACTAAAACAAATGAAGAACGGTTGCAGGATTTTGGGCGTGGCCGGTCTAGAAAAAAAAGAAGGACGGGGGGGAGACATGATGTCAAACCTGGAAGCCATCTTTTACATTTTACCTTTGAGCCTTCAGGCCTGCCACAAATTCTACTGTGGGAAAATGGGAGGTGGGGGGAATTGTATGGAGTGAAGATGTTAAGTAGCACTTAGCTGCCAGCTGCCTGCAATTACTGCGAGTTCAAATCTCACCAGGCTCAAGGTTGACTCAGCCTTCCATCCTTCCGAGGTAGGCAAAATGAGGACCCGGATTGTGGGGGCAATAAGCTGACTTTGTATTAAAAAAAAGAACACTGCTTGAGGGGGGGATCGAAAGCCCTACTAAGCAGGTATAGACAAAAGTATGAAGGCTATTGCTTAACGCATTGTAAGCCGCCCTGAGTCTCTGGAGAAGGGCGGCATATAAATCGAACCAATAAATAAAATAAATAAATAATAAATTTATTCTCCAAAGCCCCTGAAGGCAGGACAAGAAATAATGGTGGGAATCGAAGAAAGAAGCAACCTGAAACTTCCTAAGGGCAAAGACAATCAGTGGAACAGAAGTTGCCTTCAGAAGTTGCGGGTGCTCCACAACTTTTAAGAAGAGACGGGACAGCCACGCGCCCAAAATGCTACAGGGTCTCCCTGCTTGAGCAGGGGGCTGGACTAGATGACCTCCAAGCTCCCTTCCAGCTCTGCTCTATTCTATTCTATTCTATTCTATTCTATTCTATTCTATTCTATTCTATTCTATTCTATTCTATTCTATTCTATTCTATTCTTCTTCTGAACACTTCAGGCAACCAACATGACTCAAGTCAAGACAGAACCGAGGTTAGCCAGCGAGAGGAGAGAAGAAAATGGAGAAAAAGCTCACTTTCATCAGCCGGTCATTCAGGAGACGGGACGCATCCCTGTCGTTGAGGTCGGTGTTTTTCACATCCTGGGTCAGCGCGGTGGTGGCGCGAGTAAAATCTCCGCGGGCCTCAAAGAGCCACTGGATCTCCAAGCCCCGTTTCTGCAGCAGGAGAGAAGCGGGACCGGTAGGTTATGCAACAACGACATGGAACAAGAGCTGCCTTGCCAATTTATTTCAGGCGTTTGTGAGGCGTTTGACGACGGGGCCTTCAGGAAATCAGGACCCGTTATCTGCATTCCAGACACAAACTCCGGCTAACACATTTCGATGGTTGTGTTGTGCTCCACAGCAGTCTTGAACCTTTCAACAACTGCCCCAAAATCTGGCAACGTAAATTTGGGAGACCTTTCTGTTGTAGCCCCAATAATCCCAGATGTCCAGGATACCTTACGGGTACTGAATACTGACCTTGGTGGTTTTTCTTGCAGACATTTTATTACCCAACTAGGTGATATCATCAGTGCAGACCTCCCTCTCTTTTAATACTGATGATGTTAACTAGTCTGGTCATGAGATGTCTACAAGAAACTCAAAGAGCACCAAGGACCCCCACAATCCTCCTTTTTCTTCCTCCCTCCTCCTTTCTCCAAACCCTGACTCCCTTCTAGCACTGGTGATGTTAACCTAGATTGGTAATGAGATGTCTGCAAGGAAGCCACCAAGCTCAGAGAGCACCAAGGACCCCACAGTCCTCCTCTTCCTCCACTCCATAAACCCCACTCCCTTCTAGCACTGATGAGGTTCCCTACTTGGGTTGTGAAAAGAGCCTTGGTAGCACAGATTAAAGCACTGTTAAGTAAGACCAGCTGCCTGCAATTACTGCAAGTTTGAATCTCACCAGGCTCAAGGTTGACTCAGCCTTCCATCCTTTCTAAGGTAGGTAAAATGAGGACCCGGTTTGTGGGGGCAATAAGCTGACTTTGTGTAAAAAAGAGACGGGGGGGGGGGGGGGGGGGGGGGGGAGAAAGCCCTACTAAGCAGGTATATACAAAAGGATGAAGGCTATTGCTTAACGCATTGTAAGCCGCCCTGAGTCTCCGGAGAAGGGCGGCATATAAATCGAACCAATAAATAAATAAAAGTCTGCAAACAAAACCAGCAAGCTCAGAGAACACCATGCACCCCACTGTTCAACCCCGAGCTATATATCTATTCTTTCTTTGGGTGACCCAAAGCATTTCCACTTTGGATTTTAATTGATATAATCTGTTTACTTTAATAGGTTTTCCACTTGATTTTACGGTGTTCCATGCAGCCCAGAGTTGCTTTGATGCCGAAGTGGGTGGCAAATACATTTAACAAATAAATACCCCTTTCTATAGATAGGATGCTGAGGTTGAAAAACCGACAACCCAGGTTCGAGACCCGAGCGCTATGTGACAGGGTGAGCTCCGGTTCCTTGCCTCACCTAGCAGTCCAAACGCACGCAATGCGAGTAGATAAATAGGTACCACTTTGGCAGGAAGGTTAACAGCGTCCCGTGCGCCTGTGGCATGGCTGCACGACCACAGAAAATGTCTTCGGACAAGGGTCTACGACACCTCGCCATGGCCAATTTGCCACGGCCAACTCACCGTGGTCAACTTGCCATGACCATCTCTCTATGGGACACAACTCGCTTCTGGACAAGAGTTACACCAAGATCGAAGAAATAGTCAGATAGGATCATTTTTTAAAAAACGGATGACAAAAATTTATTTATTATTTGTTTCCATTTCTATACCGCCCTTCTCCAATTAGGACTCAGGGCGGTGAACAGCCAAGGTAAAAAAGAGAACATACAAAATTTAAAAAACAATTTAAAATAATTAAATATTTTGGCCGTAAATTAAAACAATCCAATTTAAAATCAATTTAAAATTTAGCTCAAGCCAGCCCAGCTAGTTGAAATAAATAGGTTTTCAGGGCCCGACGGAAAATCCGGAGGTCTGTTATTGTACGTATCCCTGGGGGGAGGTTGTTCCAGAGGGCGGGCGCCGTCACAGAGAAGGCTCTCCCCCTGGGGGTCGTCAGCCGACATTGTCTGGCGGACGGCACCCGGAGGAGGCCCACTCTGTGCGAGCGTACTGGCCGGTGGGAGGCTATTAGTGGCAGAAGGCGGTCTCGTAAATACCCCGGCCCTAAGCCATGGAGCGCTTTAAAGGTGGTCACCAACACCTTGAAGCGCACCCGGAAGACCACAGGAAGCCAGTGCAGCTGGCATTTTGAATAATTAAATTGAATTGAATTGTCCCACAATGAGTTGGCCATGGTGAGTTCTCCCCTTCCATTTGGACAATGCTGGCTCCCTCAGCTAAGGAATGGAGATGAGCAACAAGTCACGACTGGACAGGGGAAACCTTTTACCTCTATTTTTTAACCTTTCTAGAGATGGTGGAGTCCTCCCCAGCTGCTGTTATCGTCTGTTTAACCACCCCCGTTGATCATATGCTTAACGCATTGTAAGCCGCCCTGAGTCTCCGGAGAAGGGCGGCATATAAATCGAACCAATAAATAAATAAAATAAAATATAACAAACCATCTCCCGCGCCCTCACCTTCATTTCCCTCTGGTAAGGGAGCAGGCTCGCGACAAAATTGTGCAGCCGGCTGTCGTAGCTCTTGTAATCCAGGTAGAGTTCCCGATCGTGGGTCAACCTGAGGGCCATCCGGCCGGCTATTTCGGCGGCCAACCGGATCGCCTGTTCCATCAGGACGATGCTGTTGCTAAAGGCCGCGAGCAGGTTGCTTGGATTGTCCTCCGCGGTGCCGAAATAGGGGTAGGGGTAGGAGTCTCCGCCCTACGAGGGAGAAGCAAAACAGTGAGCAAAACTCCACACCGAGTGGGATCTTTTTCAAAGCCCCGGCTCTGTCTCTATTTTTCCTCTAGGCAAGCTTTCCAGTAGCAAGGGACCGTCGAGAGAGAAAGTGGGAGTTTTTGTGAGTTGAGCATTGTAGGAAGCCTCCCGTTTTTCGGCTGCTTCCTTAGTGCTTAGAAGCAAGAATGTTTTTTTTAAATTAGGAATTGTGCCAGAAATATACAATAGAGGAATTGAGATATTTGATTGTGAATGTATTGACAGCGGCTAGAATTGTGTTTGCTAAAAATTGGAAAAATGAGAAAATACCAACGCAGGATGAAGTTATTAAGAAAATCATGGAATGTGCTGAAATGAGTAAATTTACATTTGAAATGTCAAGAAGAACAAGAAGATAAACAATATTATAAGATATGGGATTTATTTTATCAATGGCTAGATACTAAAATATGGAAGTGAAATATGAAACATAAAATGAATGTTACAATATAATATGTGAAAACAATTTCTTCTTTTTTTGGAAATAATAATGCCATTGCCAGATAAATGATAAATGAGGATAATTATATATATATATATATTAGGTTGATAATGTGAGAAATATAATTTGTAAAATGAAGCACAAGGGATCAACACACTGTTTGCAATTGTAATGGATGATGGATGTTTTATGTTTTGTTCGTTTAAAAATAAAAATAATAAAAAAAAATTTTAGAAGCAAGAATGTTTTCCATATTTGAAACACATAAAATGTTCAAAACCTCTGGCAAAATTATGCCCCACCCTTTGCAAGATTTCACAGCACGGAAACTCCCCGATCTCTGTTCCAATGGACAGGCCTCTCTTTCCTATACAGGTAAGTCCTCGACTTACAACAGTTCATTTAGTGACCTTCCAAAGTGATAACGGCTTTGGAAAAAAGTGACATGACCCATTTTCCCACTTATGCAGCATCCCCCTGGTAACGTGATTGAAGTTCAGATACTTGGTAACTGGCTCCTATTTATGACGATTGGAGTGTCCCGGGATCCCCTTTTGTGACCTTCTGACAAGCAAAGTCAATGAGGAAAGCCAGTTCCATTTAACGACCGTGGAAGGAAAGGTGGTAAAAATGGGACAAAATTCACTGAACAGCTATTTCGCTTAGCAACAGGAATTCTGGGCTCAATTGTGGTCGTACTTGCAGTCCTGCCCCCCACCCCAAAGACTTTAAGTGTGTGTGTGTGTGTGTGTGTGTGTGTGTGGTGTCCAATTTTAAAATTTGTGAACTTCAACGCCCAGAATTCCCCAGCCAGCCAAGAATTCTGGGAATTGAAATCCACAAGAATTAAAGTGGACAACTTTGGAAATCCCTGCCTTAAAACTTGGGAGCTTCATCACTGGAAGCTTTCAAGAAGAGACTGGACAGCCATCTGTCACAAATACTACGGGGTCTCCTGCTTGAGCAGGGGGTTGGACTAGATGACCTACAAGGTCCCCTCCAACTCTGTTATTCTATCCTGTTCTACTTGTCCATCAAAGTGCTTGCTCGATGAGCACAGAACAAACTCTCCAAAACCCAACGACTTGAGTGTGGGGATGTCCACATTGTCCTGGAATTCCGATGCCCAGCAAGACACCCCAGTTCTGAAAGCAGCTTGCACCCCCCTCCCAACGCCAACAGAAGCGGTCAGAAAGCTACAGCACCGGAGAAGGGTGAATTCAAAACTCACGTTGTTGATGCTGAAGGAGATGGCGGGGATTCCAGAGGAGGCGATGAATGTTCTCGCTGCGTCATCAAACCGAAACGGAACTCTGAGGAGAAGGAAAAGAGAAAAGTTTCAGCCACTGCTTTGGAACTTTTTCGGAAGCCAGTATGGCTTAGTGGTTAAGGTGCTGGCATAGAAACCAGGTGACGGTGAGTTCTAATCCCGCCTTAAGCCAGCTTGGGTGACTTTGGAACGATCACCAGGAGAACCTGAGTTCTAGTCCAGCCTTAAGGCCAGAAATTTTGGAGATTTCTCGGATGGGGGAAGTTAAAATCTGACTATCGATGACAGCTTTTAGCTGCTTCTCGGGAGCTGGGAGCTGCACGGCAGGACGTGCACGGCAAAAACATCAGGGAAAGCCAAAGCTTTCACTTACTCTTTGCTTGCAAAAGCGGCACGAAGATTGAGTGGCAAAAAGGAGACCTGAAAAAGGACAAAGAGGACCAGATTACACCTTTTCCGTAACAGGGATAATCCAGAGCCACCCACCCACCCAAGACTTAAAAAGTTCTGTGGCTCAATTCCAAATCCCTCTTCCCTTTGCCTGAAATTTCCACTGTTGCAAATCTTAAATCAGAAGGCAAAAGACATTCAACAGCAGACTAGGGACAGTCAAATTTGTGTGTGTAATCAATCAATCAATCAATCTATCATCCATCCATCCAGTTTGGTTTGCTGGTGAAGGCACCAGGCTAAAAACCAGGAGACAGTGAGTTCTAGTTCTGCTTTAGGCATGAAAGCCAGCTGAGTGAATATAGACCAATCACCAGGAGACAGTGAATTCTAGTCCCGCCTTAGGCATGAAAGCCGGCTGGGTGACTTTAGGCCAATCACCAGGAGATCATGAGTTCTAGTCCCATGTTAGATATGAAAGCCGACTGCGTCTTTAGATCAATGTGAGTTCTAGTCCCACCTTAGGTATGAAAGCCGGCTCAGTGAATATAGACCAATCACCAGGAGACAGTGAATTCTAGTCCCTGCCTTAGGCTCAAAAGCTTGTCAGATGCCTGCTCGCCAATCACCAGGAGATGGTGAGTTCTAGTCCCACCTTAGGCACGAAAGCCGGCTGGGTGACTTTGGGCCAATCACCAGGAGACCGTGAGTTCTAGTCTAGTCCCATGTTAGATATGAAAGCTGACTGCGTCTTTAAATCAATGTGAGTTCTAGTCCCACCAAAGGCATGAAAGCCAGGCAGTTGTGGTATAGTAAGAAATGTTAGATACATTCACTACCTTGAGTTTTTATAAAGTTAGTAAAGGATAAAAACGAATAAATCAAATAAATAGAGAGAAGTCCAAGGGAGCAGCACATCTGTTCCTGCAGGGAGCATGAGAGGCACTAGAGCTGCCCGGCTCACTTATCATTTTCTCAGAAAACCCCCAAACAGAGGCAAGCGCTACTCACATCTGTGACTGCTTCCTCCAGGAGCTTTTTCAACAAGGGGCTGGAAGAGAATCGGAATTCCTTGGATCCTGCGAGATGGAAAGAAGATGCTTGAGCTCAAGAGGCTCTGAACTACCAGACAGCATAGGAAACAGGTTAGCCAATTTTAGACTGGAGAGCCAGGTTATGGTTCACTGCCTTGAGCTGCTTATAAATTAACAAAATTGGGATACAAATAAATAAATAACAACTATCTTCCAATATTCTCTTGCACATCGCTGGGGTCTGTGCGAGGCTCTGAGGCATGCAAGCAAATGTTATGCTGAGGGAAAATGCTAAGACATTTTCTTAATAAAAAGAATCTAAAGGCTGAAGTTAGACAGGAATTTTAGAGGCGGGGTCTCCAACCTTGGCAACTTTATAAGACTTGTGGACTTCAACTCCCAGAATTCCTCAGCCGGACGTGTCTTGTTTCTTTTTCTCTTACCTGGCGAAGTGGAGAGATTGCAGAGGGAGGCATTGTAAGAGAGTAGGCGAAGCTGGCTGGGGAATTCTGGGAGTTGAAGTCCACAAGTCTTAAAGTTGCCAAGGTTGGAGACCCCCGTTTTAGAGAGTAGGAAGAAATAGGCCAGGAGGCCTAAAGCTGCTCCTGGGTACCAGGCAGCTAGGTATCCAGGTCTACTCCTTACGCAAAGGACAAAGCACTTCCTGCCACTTCTCCGTTCTTGCTTCTCAAGCCATAATTCAAACTTTGATGGAGCGTCACAGACATGTACCTGAAACGGCGGCATCCAGATTGATGTAAGCGAACGCTTTCAAATGCAGAGAGGCAGCGTAGCCCTGAGAAGGTTTAGGAAAAGAAAAAATGGGATTTCTGAACTATTCTACGAGCTACAATTTATTTTTTTACGGACTCAATTTATACAGCTGCTCATCTCACACACACACACACACACACAAAAAGAGCACGGTGACTCGAGCGGTTGGAGTGCTGGGCAGAGATTAGCAAGCCGCGTTCGAGACCCCGCCGTGGGGCAAGGTTGAGTTCTTGTCCTTCACTCCAGCTCCTGCCAGGGTCACAAAAGGAACTCCCAAATGGGCATCCCCAAGCAACGGTGATGTCACTAATCCTTTCAACCCGGAAGCACTTCTGACTTTGGTGAGTGCCAAAATCTCACAAGAGGCTCTCTAGCACAGAAGTGTTTTAATTTTTTTAAAAAACCCAGCTCTTACCTCTAGCCATTCCGTGGCACCGACGGCTCCGAATTCGCCTGCGCTCCAGCTGGCAAAGATGATGCTCCTGTGAGGTTTGTAGCCGTCTGAAATGCGCGGAAGAGAGAGAGAAATCAGGGATCCCGTTCAAGTCTATTGGTTTGGCTCCCTTTCCCTCAAACCAACAGACTTTTCCCTCTTTAGATTAGATTAGATTGAGTTGGAAGGGACCTTGTAGGTCATCTAGCCCAACCCCCCGCCCAAGCAGGAGACCCTACACCATTTCTGACAGAGGAGAGTCCAGTCTCTTCTTGAAAGCTTCCAGTTACGAAGCTCCCACAACTTCTGGAGGCAAGCAGTTCCACTGGTTAATTGTCTTCACATTTAGGAGATTTCTCCTTATTTCTAGTAGGAATCTCTCCTTGATCCATTATTCCTTGTCTGGCCTTCAGGTGCTTTGGAGAATAGCTTGACCCCCCTTCCTCCTCTCTGGGGCAGCCCCTCAAATACTGGAAGATGCTCTCCTGTCTCCCCTGGTCCTTCTCTTCCCTAGACTAGCCAGGCCCAGTTCCTGCAACCGTCCATCGTATGTTTTAGCCTCCAGTCCCCTCATCATCCTGGTTGCTCTTCTCTGCACTCTTTCCAGAGTCTCAATATCTTTTTTGTAGCGTTGTTCCATTTCTCTCAAACGTCTTACCAGTTTTGACCATCCCAGAGAGTGTGTGGGCCAACTCCTGCAACAAAGCCGTCCCGACTGCAGATTTCACTGTTCCATCTCCCCAGGCATCGCGCTGAGCTCCGATCACGATATACCGATCTGCAAGAGGAAGCGGCTCACTGAATCCAAAATTGTAACGAAGCAGGAAGGAGGGCTGCGATAGCCCGAAAGTTCTAGGATGAGGGTCAACAGGCCAGTGGAAAGTTCTAAGGAGTATCTAGGAACACACCTGGCCAAGGATATAGGCCTGACTCTGATCGCTTATAGGTAATCCTTGATTTATGACAAGGGAGCCCAAAATTTCTGCTGTTAAGCGAGACATTTCAATTGGATTTCGCCCCATTTTACCACCTTTCTGGTCATAAAATGGGGCAACATTCAATTACGTGCCTCGCTTAGCAACAGAAATGTTGGGCTCCACTCTGGTTGCAAAGCAGTAAGTGAATCACTGCAGTTGTTAAGTTGGTAACTTGGTTGTTAAATGAATCTGGCTTCCCCCTCGAGTTTGCTTGTCAGGTGGTCACAAAAGGGTGACCCTGGGACACTGCGACCGTCATAATTAGGAGCCAGACGCCAAAGGTCTAAATTTTGATCGCATGACTATGAGGATGCTACAACAGCTGTAAGTGTGAAAAATGGCCGCAAGTCACTTTTTGCAGTGCAGTTGTAACTTTGGTCACTAAATGAACGATTATAAGTCAAGGACCCTCAGTATTTCTCCCCGCTTAATAAATGAAACCACCATTTACTGTTATTATGTATAAAATTTATTTGATACATAAGCAAGATAAAAAAATATTTTATCTTGCTATAGGGATACAACAATTAAAAAAAAATGAGAAGAGAGTGACAACAGAACAGATAGAACAAACAATAAAATGAACAATGAAAAAGAAATACGATAAATACAACTATAGGATTACCAAAACAGAATGATGGGCAGACAGTGAGCAGTGAATAAAAAAAAGGGGGTGGGGTGGGGTTAGAGCTTGCCATCAATCCAACAGCTAAAAACCAAAATCAATCCAGCATTTAATTGGTTTTTTTAAACACTTATTCCTTCCTTTGATGTGGAAAGGCGTAATGGTAGTCTTACAACTATTCCTCTAGCAACTGTTCCAAAGTTAAAACGGCACTGGAAAAAAAGAGAGACTTACAACCAGTTCTCACACTTATGACTGTTGCAGCATCCCTATCGCCAGATGATCAAAATTCAGGTGCTTGGCCATCGACTTGTATTGGGGTCACCATTTGCGACCTTCCCAACAAGTCCATAGGAGAAGATAACAGTGACGTTAACAAAATGTAGAAATTCACTTGTTAAATGATCACGTGGCAAAAAAATGTTGTAAAATTGGGTGCGACTCGCTTAACAACCGCCTTGCTTTGCAAAAGCAATTCTGGTCTCAATTGCGGTCATAAGGTGAGGACTGCCTATGGTCAAAGCAACTCACAGGACTAAGGCTACTGAAATGGCTGAAGGCTTTTCCGTTAAGGCAGTGTTTCTCAACCTTGGTAGCTTGAAGATGGGTGGACTTCAACTCCCAGAATCCCCCAGCCAGGGATTCTGGGAGTTGAAGTCCACCCATCTTCAAGCCCTCAACTTACAGCCACTCTAAATTTAGTAGCTGTTCGAATTCACAACAGCACTGAAAAAAGACACAACTATTGCAGCCTCCCTGAACAAAATTCAGACGCTTGGCAACTGACTCACATATTTATGACGGTTGCAGTCCCGTAATCCACTTTCGGGACCTCCTGATGAGCAAAGTCAACGGGGAAGCCAGATTCACTTAACAACTGTGTTACTCACTTAACAATGATAAGAGATTCGCTAGAAAGCTGTCGTTAAAAAAGGTCGTAAAATGAGGCAAACTCACTTAACCAATGTCTTCCTTAGCAGCGGAAATTTGGGGGGGCCTGTTGTCGTTGAGTCTAGGATACCCATATATCCCCAGGAGAGGCTGAAAGAGCCAGCTTTGGGGGATGCTTTGATTTGGGGTTCCTCAGGAAGATTCAAAGGACCAAGAAAGGACGCCAAGGATGCCATGCTCAGACTAGGTTTATGACAATTTGCCACGGCCATCTCGCCACAGATCAATTCACGTGTGTGTGTCAAGAGTTACAATAATATCAATGAAATGATGGAATAGAATCATTAAAGAAAGGATGCAAAATGAAATGGGAATGGCAAAAAATTAAAGTTTATTTTAAATAATTAAATAGAATGGTGGGAGTTGTCTTGTGGCGAGCTGTCCCGTTCTTGCTCAGACACACGGGTTCTCTCAAACCCCACCGTCCGAGGGGCCATCGATGCTTACCTGGTTCCACAAAGCCTTTAAGCACGCCGAAGATGTTCAGGATTTTCTTCTCTACCAGTTGGTTGTTAACGTTGAGCTTCACGTTCGTTCCGGACGGAGAGGTCGCACACTTGCGGAAGATCGTGTATTGCCACGTGGTGGGACAGTCTGACCCATCCAGAACACTGAAAGCAGAAACGGAACGCGTTAACTCTAAGTTGCGCTTCTCCCAACATCCCGTGACATGTTCAAAATTGTCGGAGTTTAACACCAAATTTCTCTCTCTCTCATTATTTCAAGGGAACAGGATACAGGGAGCCCTTGACTTGTAACCATTCGTTTAGTGACCGCTCAAAGTTATGACGGTATCGAGAAAAGTGGCTTATGACCCTTTTCACACGTAACAACTGTTACAGCATCACGTGATCAAAATTCAGACACTTTTGGCAACTGGTTCATGTTTATGACGGTTGCCATGTCCCGGAGTCATGCTGCAAAAATGTTCTGCAACCTTCTGACGAGCAAAGTCAATGGGGGAAGCCAGACTTACTTAACAACCTTGTTACTAACTTAACAGCTTCAGTGATTCACTTAACAACTGGGGCAAGAAAATGGAGCAAAATTCGCTTATCTCACTTAGCGACAGAAATTTTGGGCTCAATTGTGGTCATTAAGTCCACATTTTATAAATTCATGTGTCTTAATGTGGCTGTACACCGCCCTGAGTCCCCCGGGAGAAGGGTGGTATAGAAATCCAATAAACTCTTAATCTCTTAAATCAAGGACTACCCGTGTTGTGGGGAGCTGTGGTGATGCAGTGGTTAGAATGTAGTACTGCAGGCGACTTCTGCTGCCTGCTGGCTGCCTGCAATTTGGCAGTTCGAATCTCAAGGTGGACTCAGCCTTCCATCTTTCCGAGGTGGGTAAAACGAGGACCCAAATTGTTGGAGACAAGAGGCTGTAAACTGCTTAGAGGGCCGTAAAGCACTGTGAAGCAATATATAAGTCTAGGTGCTATTGTTTGTTCGTTCGATCTATCATCTATCTATCTATCATCTATCTATCAATCTATCATCATAATCTACCATGGGGGTGCAATGGTTAGAATTCAGCACTGCCAGGAATTCAATCAAGATGGACTCAGCCTTCCTTCCATCTGAGGTCAGTAAAATGAGGACCCAGATTGTTGGGGGCAAGAGGCTGACTCTGTAAACCGCTTAGAAAGGGCTGTACAGGATTGCAAAGCAGCATATAAATCTAAGTGCTATTGGTATTGTCCTTTTTCTTTTAACTGTTACGGGGTGAGAAATCAATCCATCCTCCCCCACCCACCCCCAAAAATGATGGTTGTGCTGCAGTTGCATATCACTAACACAAGTTTGCATCATGGAATTTTTCTTTCTCAAGTTTAATTTTCTGAGAGGAAGAGGACTGATAAGACAATGGTTGAAATAATGGAGCTTTTATCAGTCTCGCTGCCAGCGACCCTCAAATCTACAGACAAGAAGTTTGAAAACAGGTGGGCGGTTACCTGGCTAATGTTCGTGCAGCCGAGCTCGAAATACTTGCGACGGGGATGCCGGGGAGGGCCGAAGACTGGACGGGCGGGAACTGAGTGTGGTTGAAAGAAGGGAACCCAGGGGTATACGGGTCACCGGTTCCAAGATGAGCCTGCAAGACAAAAGGAGAATTTCAGGGGGAAAAAAGAGGATATGTTTTGAGCCTAACAAGTTGTCCAGGCAATATATGTGTTCTGTAACTTTAATATGAATATGTATTGTGTGACTTTTAAGGCTTTACTGCTGAATCATTATAATGCTGAGTCATGCTGTAATTAGGTAATGACTGGTTGTGAGGAGTTGCTAACATTCTGCTAATCATCGTTTGATGGACTTGCTACCATCGTGGTTTGTGAAACAGAATGAGTTTAATATTCTAACCAACTACTGTTTGTTGGGTAAGAAGATATCTGTAACTACTGGACTGATTTTACTGGCAAAGACTTGGAATCTGTTTAAAGACTATGAGACTGTTTTTCTACTATAAAGTAAGCTTTTGATAAACCAGTTTGCATATCTCTTATTCATTGCTCTCAGCAATGTTTCCTTGTGCATTTACTGCTAGTTGGTAACACAACACCAATATCCTTAACACACCACAAAAGCAGATAAATTGAGTTTCCTGTCACGTCCTTCATGCCAGCAGCTCCGAGGTCTCATCTGCTCAAGTCTCGACTTACAACCGTTCGAAGTTACAATGGCATTGAAAAAAAGCGACTGAGGGCCGTTTTTTGCACGGACAACCGTTGCAACCTTCCCAGGGTCATGTGATTAAAATTCAGACGCTTGGCAACTGGCATGTATTTATGACGGTTGCAATGTTCCGGGGTCACGTGATCCGCTTTTGCGACCTTCTCTTGACGAGCAAAATCCACGGGGAAGCCAGATTCGCTTAACCACCGTGTGACTCCCTTTTAACACGGCTGGCTGGGGGGAAATTCTGGAAGTTGTAGTCCACAGCTCTTAAAAAGTTGGAGACTTCTGCTTAAAAGGAGGCACGGAAGGTTCACTGACAAGAAAACGGTCAAAACTCACATGTCCAAACAGAGCCACAGTTGGTCCAAGGTTCCTGTAGTCAGCAGGATCCGGATAGATCAACACTCCTACAGCGCCCCGTGCTTTGGCATTGGCAACCTAGAGGGAGACATTGGGGCGTTTTTTACTGGGATGTGGAAAAGCAGCCGAGGGGCACACAGAGTTAGCAAGTAATGGGACACCCCCTTTGCCCCCAAGTTCCCCAGAGACCCCTGAACTCTACGCTGCTCCATTCGATCACGTTTCTGCTTAGTTCTAAAAGTGAAGCAGCTTTTGCTCCAAAGTTAAGATTTTGCAATTTTTCCCCCCTCCGATCTACGAAGTCAAAATAGAGATAGGAAAACTGTGGGGTCTTTGATGCTTTCTGAGCTTGGTTGGCTGTTTGTTTGCAGACGTTTCATTACCCAACTAGGTAACATCATCAGTGCTAGAAGGGAAAGGGGTTTGCGAAGAGGAGGAAGAGAACTGTGGGGTCTTTGGTGCTCCCTAAACTTGGTTGTTTTCTTTCAGACATTTCATTACCTAACTACCGTATTTTTCAGAGTATAAGATGCACTTATGAGGGACATTGGTAATTTCTAAACGGGGAATAAATAAAAATAATTTTACCTTCTCGGCAAAAGTAATACTGCCAGCTCGCACAATGACCACTGTGCCATTCAGGAAGATACCTTTGTCTAGGAGGACTTTGAAATCATCTTTACGGCCGTAATTGGCGAAAACCGGTTTGGCCTACGATAGAGAAGGTTGGTCAGCCCACATATAAAAATAAATAAAACTTAAAATAAAACTTGGCCGACCTCGGAGGTGGATCTTAGCAGGCAGGCAATTAGATTTTTTTTTTGGGGGGGGGTGTTCCACCTCGTTTCTCTGGATGAAGGAAAGATCCTTGAAGAAATTAACAGAATTTCTTCAAAGCTCTCAGTATGCAATACAAGCAACAAGTGATAAATCACGATCTTAATCATAAAATGCAATCCGAAGATACCATACACAGTGATGTGTCATAGGGTACTCAATAAGCAAACCACGTAAGTCATAATAGGATGCTAAATTAAAAACAACATAAATCATAAAATGCAAACAACAAAGTTATAGTCATAAGAAGCTAAGGAAATAGGTTATTAGGAAAGATGAAAAAATACAGCCCTATGTAGTTTGACAAAAAAAATACTATTAAAAGTATTTTGTATGTATGTGCATTACTATATCTATAGTAATACACACACACATATTTTAGTATTGTGTGTGTGCATTAATATATATATATATATATATATATATATATATATATATATATATATATATATATATATATATATATATATATATATATATATATACAAACTATTCTAAAAATACGAGTTCCAGGTATTTATTTATTTATTGGTTCAATTTATATGCCGCCCTTCTCCGGAGAATCAGGGCAGCTTACAATGCTTTTAAGCAATAGCCTTCATACTTTTGTATATACCTGCTTAGTAGGGCTTTTGCCCCCCCCCCCAAGCGGTGTTCTTTTTTATACAAAGTCGGCTTATTACCCCCACAATCCGGGTCCTCATTTTACCTACCTCAAAAAGATGGAAGGCTGAGTCAACCTTGAGCCTGGTGAGATTTGAACTCGCAGTAATTGCAGGCAGCTGGTACTACTTAACAGCACTTTAGTCTGCTGCGCCACCAAGGCTTTTATCCAATTTTAATTATTTTAGTTCTGGAGCTTGCAGAATGTCTGGTTTTTTACATACACACACACATATTAATACATACACACAAAAAATACTATTTTGTAGTATAAAAATACTTGCTTCTAACCCACTGACAACTACAAGTATATTTCCCCAAGCACTATTTTACCAGAAAGAGGAACGCCATTGAGGGAAGCTTTTTCTAAATCTTCTTTGAAGGTGTCAAGTTGGGAAGAATAAAGCTACTGAGCTCTCGGAGAGACTTACCGAAACCTGGCCGTTTTCACTGTAGGCTACGAAAGCACTGGGTGCCTCCACGAATGTGTTTTTACCATCTTCCAAAGTAATTACATTTGAAGACCTAAAAAAAATAGTATTGTGGACATTACTGCATGCTTCCAAACGGCATTTTAAAATATCTATTTCAATTTACAAGGCTGTCTATCTAAAACAGGGGTCTCCAAACTTGGCAACTTTAAGACTTGTGGACTTCAACTCCCCGAATTCCTCAGCCAGCTTTGCTGTGGAATTGAATTTGGGGTGGGGGGCAGGACTGCAAGTACGACCACTCCCCTGAGGAAATCTTGAGGCGAACTTCCTACCTGGCTTGGAGACGGACATAATGCTCATCATCCCAGACTTTATCCAAGTTGTAAGACTCAAAGTTATTGTGGATGTCATTAGCCAGAATCTCGTCCCGTCCACTGCCGGCTTCGTGATTCTCAGAGGACACTTCCCTATTAGAGAAACGAAGGAATCAAAAGTCAGGCGTTCTCTAAGACCATCGTCTTCACACAAACTGTTAATGCCACTTTATAAAGTGATGGCGCCTTGATTACAACTCAATAATGCAGGCAACTTCTACTGACTGCCGGCTGCCAGCAGTTCAATCCTGACAGGCTCAAGGTTGACTCAGCCTTCCATCCTTCCGAGGTCGGTAAAATGAGGACCCAGATTGTTGGGGGCAAGAGGCTGACTCTGTAAACCGCTTAGAGAGGGCTGTAAAAGCACTGTGAAGCAGTATGTAAGTATAATGCTATTGCTCTTCCTTTCTCCCTCCCTTTTGTGGTGGCGCAGTAGTTAGAATACAGTATTGCAAGCTGATTCTGCCCACTGCCAGGGTTTTAATCCTGACTGGCTCAAGGTTGACTCAGCCTTCCATCCTCTGAGGTTGCTAAAATGAGGACCCAAATTGTTGGGGGCAAGAGGCTGACTCTGTATACCGCTCAGAGAGGGCTGTAAAGCTGTATATAAGACTAAGTGCTAGTGCCCTTCCTTCCTATGCAGTATTGCAGGCTAACTCTGCCCACTGCCAGCAGTTTGATCCTGATCAGCTCAAGGTTGACTCAGCCTTCCGTCCTCCTGAGGCCGTTAAAATGAGGAGCCAGATTGTTGGGGGCAAAAGGCTGACTCCGTAAACCGCTCAGAGAGGGCTGTAAAAGCACTGTGAAGCAGTGTCTAAGTCTAAGGGCTGTTGCTGTTGCTATTGCTAACTTGTAAGTCGCCACTTGGAATATTGCATCCATTTTTGGTCACCACGATATAAAAAAAATGTTGAGATCCTATAAAGAGTGCAGAGAAGAGCAACTAAGATGATTAGGGAACTGGAAGCTAAAATATATGAAGAACAATTGCGGGAATTGGGGTTTGTCTAGTTTAATGAAAAGGTGGTCTACGGGTGACATGATAGCAGTCTCCCAGTATTTGAGAGGCTGCCAGTCAAGCTATTCTCCAAAGCACCTGAGGGCAGGAATGGAGCAACAAGCAACGGATGGAAACTCATCAAGGAGAGAAGCAACCTAAAACTAAGGAGAAATTTCCTGAGAGCGAGAACAATTAATCACTGAACTTCAAAAGTTGTAGGTGCCCCATCACTGAGTGTTTTTAAGAAGGGATTGGACAAACATTTGTCTGTAAAGGTATTAAGGTTGGACTAATAGACCTTCGACAACAACTCTGTTATTCTGCATCCAACGGAGCCAGACCTAGTCCATATGTTAAAACCGTCCTTCTACATCGGAAGGGACTATCGGGAAATCCTTACCGGATCGTTGTTTCGAAATTGGCCTTGGCTAGCCGATCGCCCAGTAATTTCTTCAGGTCTCCCCAATAGAGCACTGGATCAGATGGGGGATTGTTGGCTTCAGGGTATAAAGATGAATAGGCGATCTCGTCACTCGATGACACTGCGCCATTGTTACACTTTGCCGCCGGTGGCATCCGGGCACGGAAACTTATATAGCCAAACAAAAATCCTGCAAAAGGTGAGCAGATGGAAGACATTCAGGATTAACTGGGTGACGACGTAACATCGAAAAGAGCAGCACAATTCACACACAGCTGCATTTGTTGACAAGATCCCAAGGCAACTGGGACTTGCTTCTTGGAAACCCTTTCGCTTCTCATCCAAGAAACTTCATCTGAAGTTAGAAGTGAAGAAGCTTCTTGGGTGAGAAGGGAAGCATCTTCAAGGAAAAAAAACCAAGGAAGCCCAGTTGCCTTTTGGGGGGAAAAAAGCACCCCCCCTTTTTAAAAATTGATTTATATGCCGCCCTTCTCCGGAGACTCAGGGCGGCTTACAATGCATTAAGCAATAGCCTTCATCCTTTTGTATATTTATACAAAGTCAGCTTATTGCCCCCACAAACTGGGTCCTCATTTCACCTACCTTAGAAAGGATGGAAGGCTGAGTCGACCTTGAGCCTTGGAGAGATTCGAACCAGCAGTAAATTGCAGGCAGCTGTGTTAATAACAGGGTGCGTAGACCACTGTACTATCAAGGCTCTTAATAGAATTATACCCTCAACTTCTTAATATAAAAACAGCCATTTCTGTAACGATAACCTAACGAATAACAACCCAATTCTATTGATAACTCCATGATTATTTTAAAAAGTTGGCCTGGCAGTACAGGTAGTCCTCCACTATGCGACCACAACTGACCCCCAACATTTCTGTTACTAAGCGAGACCATGCTTTTAGGTCAGCTTGGCCCAATTTTACGACATTTCTGGCCACAGTTGAGTGAATCTGGCTTCCCCATTGATTTTGCTAACCAGAAGGTGGCAAGCGGGGATCACATGACGATCTCCATTAAGGGTTTCCAGCAGCCAATCGTGCCTCTGCTCATCTTACCTATTAGTAAAAGCAAGGCCGCCCCGCCACACATGCAGCACAGGTGCCGATGGTTCCTGCCTTTGACTTTCCTGGGGGGCAGATGGTCGATCATGCCGTTTTCCCCTGCTTCCTCTTCCTCGGCGGAGAGTTTCATTTCCACCCGGCTGCTGTCCCCGTCCGGCTGTCGGGCCAAACTGAAGCGAGTATAGGAGAGGGGCTCGGCTCCGAACTAGAGAGGAGAGATTCGATCGCACGAGAGTGGGGAAAAAAAATAAAGTTGCTCTTTCTTGTACAAAACGGTACAATCTCGCTTCCTGTTATGCAGGATGCGGCTCATAAGCGCTACATGCTTAAGAGCTGGAAGGAACAGCTGACAAAATGGATGAATGAATGGATGGATCTTTGTAGGTTTTCTGAGGTTTTGTGTTTGAGATGCTCCAGGGGGTTGTGCGATGTAGCGAGCTTTGTGTCTTTTGCTATTCTAATGGTGGTGGGTAAATCTGGTATGTCCTAAAGGTTATGTCCTGTTTTTGGAGGAATTTAAATTCAGAAGGAGAGCACATCTTTCTCCTCCTTTCCTGATCACTTTTTACAGAGGCAAGATGGAGAGCGTTTTAACAAACTGCATCCCTGCTTAGTTTGGTGGCAACAGTGCCTCAGATAGAAAGTCCTTACAGAGAGTGGTGAGGACAGTGGAGAAGATTATAGGAAGCTCACTTCCCCTTACTCAGGATATTGCTTATAAGCGCTATGTGCTTAGAGCTCAAGCATCGTTAAAGACCCCACACACTCACTTCATGGTCTGTTTCTGTCGCACCCCTCTGGGAGGAGATTTCAAAGTATTTCTAGTAGGACTTTTACCAGATTCTGGAGTAGCTTTGTTCCCTATATATGTCATCCTTCTGGTAAACTCACAAGATTTGTTTCTCTTGCCATGTACATGAATACATCCGAACTAGACTGTTGTTCCTCCGTGTCATATAATATTTGTGGGTATATGCATAATTTTGTATGTACTTATGCTGTACGCCATGAAATTTTATTTTAATGTGTGTCGATTAGTGTACATTCAAAGTGACAATAAAGTTATTCCAAGTCTCTTATTTTTATTTTAATCCTAACTAAGCAGAAAGGCCTGTTGGTTGACTCAGGTACAGGTGATCCTCCACTTACGGCCCCCAACAGAATCCAAAATTTACACTGCTAAGCAAGAGAGTGGAGTTGGGCCCAATTTTACAACCAGAGTTATTAGGTGAATCACTGTGGTTGCTAAGTGAATCATGTGTTCATTAAGAAAATCTGGCTTCTCTCATTGACTGTGCAGGTCAGCTGGGAAGGTTTACAAATAATGATCACGACCCCAGAACACTACACTGGTCATAGATACAGGTAGTTCTTGAGTTTGCTTAGTGACCGTTCAAAGTTACGGCACTGAAAAAACCGACTTATGACCATTTTTCACACTTACGACTGCTGCAGCATCCCTGTGGTTTACATTCGGATGATTGACAACTGACTCACATTTATGACGGCTGCAGTGTCTTGGAGTCACGTGATCCTCTTTTTTGCGGCCTTCTGACAAGCAAAGTCAATGGGGGAGCCAGATTCACTTAACCACCATGTTACTAGTTTAACAACTGCAGTGATTCACTTAACAACGCTGGCAAGAAAAGGTGTAAGATGGGACAAAACTCACTCAATGAATTTCTCACTTAGCAACATAAATTTTGGGCTCAATTATGGTCGCAACTCGAGGACTACCTGTATGTGCCAGTTGCCAAGCGCCTGAATTTTGATCATGTGACGATGGGGATGCTGCAACGGTTGTCTGAAAAAACATGTCATAAGTCACTTTTTCCAGTGCTGTCGCAATTTCAAACAGTCACTAAATGAATGTTTGTAAGTTAAGGACTACCTGTAAGCTTTTAATTCCACCAACTGCAAAGGCAACAACCAAATATTCTGCAGTAGAACCAAATGCAGAAGTGAAGCCATTTGCTTCAAGAGTAAGTTCTCAACAACCTCTTTTTCTAGTGAAAGTGGAGGAAGGAACTGAGTGTAACTGCTGTAATTTTATACACTCATGAAACTGGGCGGCACTGAGTTACTAAAATTTCCCCCAGCTATTCAAATCAAGAGAGGCCCTTCAAAAGGTGCAGCCGTTCTCAGAGGTTTAACACACTGGTACACCTGGGCTCCTTCTTTCAGCATTTAAGATGCTGCTAAATAATCACCTCTTCCCTCAAGATTCTAATCTTAAATTTTATACATAAATTGTGTAATTTGTTTGTATGTCGTTATGCATATTTTTGGTCTCCGTTTGGTTTCTTGGCAATTAGCCCAAAGTCATCCAGCTAGCTTTCGCGGGACTAGAACTCTCAGTCTCCTGGTGATAGGCCCAAAGTCACCCAGCCGGCTTTCATGCCTATAGCAGGACTAGAACTCCCAGTCTCCTGGCGATAGGCCCAAAGTCACTCAGCCGTCTTTCATGCCTATAGTAGGACTAGAACTCTCAGTCTCCTGGTGATAGGCCCAAAGTCACTCAGCCGTCTTTCATGCCTATAGCAGGACTAGAACTCTCAGTCTCCTGGTAATAGGCTCAAAGTCACTCAACTGGCTTTAATGCTTATAGCAGGACTAGAACTCCCAGTCTCCTGGTGATAGGCCCAAAGTCACTCAGCTGGCTTTAATGCTTATAGCAGGACTAGAACTCCCAGTCTCCTGGTGATAGGCCCAAAGTCACTCAGCTGGCTTTAATGCCTTAGCAGGACTAGAACTCCCAGTCTCCTGGTGATAGGCCCAAAGTCACCCAGCCGGCTTTCATGGCTAAGGCGGGACTGGAACTTGCTGTCTCCTAGTTTTTAGCCTGGTGTCTTCATCACTAGAACAAACCACTGGTTCTCCCCTCTGTTGTGTTGCAGTCCCAGGAGCTGAAACAGTTCTTTCTACACACATTTCAACAGCCTTGAAATGAAGCTAGCATTAAATCAAGAGATTGCCTCATTCTTCCTCCTTGCTGCCTGCAGCGCTTCTCAAGGGCCAGCTAATTACACTGTGGTCTGACATTCCTGTAGGAGTAAAAAATCAGGCACACCAGGTTTGCTGGTTAGCCAATAAACATTCAGCGATTTCAAGCGGGCCTTCTTAAGAGCATGCCAACTGGCAAAGCGAACCAGGGCCACCTACAGTGGAAGGAGCTATTGTGATTGCAAGTGGTCCTTGAGTTACAACAGCAACTGGGTGTGGAATTACCTTAGCTAACCTAGGCAAAATGTGTGACGCCATATCACTGTTGTTAAACGAGGACCGTGGATCGTTAAGCGAGCACCTCCTTGTAACTCCCAGCCAGCTTCCAACAACCAAGTCAGTGAGGAAGCCAAGGGAAGGTTTGCAAGTCCCAGGTGGTTAGGTCAGCAGGCAGGTAAGTGGCTACTGATTTAGAATAACTTTATGGTTACTTTCAATGTACACTAATCGGCATATGTTAAAATGAAAATTTTGTTGCATACAGCTCTCAAGGGGTCTCCACCTCCAATATATACTACATAAACATGACAGAATAAACAAACACAAAATTATGCATATACCCACATAAATTATGAGACACGGAGTAACAACAATCTAGTTTGGATGTATACATGTACATGGTGAGAGAAACGAATCTTGGGAGTTTGCCAGACGGATGGCCTCGGGAACAAAGCTGTTCCAGGGTCTGGTAGTCCTGCTAGAAGTACTCTGAAACCTCCTCCCAGAGGGGAGCAACAGAAACAGACCGTAAAGTGGGTGTGTGGGGGTCTCTAACAATGCTTCGGGCTCTAAGCGCATAGCGCTTGTAAGCAGCAACCTAAATAACAGAAAGTGAGCTTCCTATAATCTTCTCCACTGTCCTCACCACTCTCTGTAGGGACTTTCTATCTGGGTGGAAGAGGGCTCTGGGGCTGCACAGGGAACTGAGGAGGAGCAGCACGAGTACAGTTTGCGCTTGGGGAACTAATGCCAGATGAGAGAAGATTCATGGGTGGCTAGGCAGGTACGATATGAGCAGAGCAAAGTTTGGGGAGGGTGCGTAAGTGGTTGTGGAGTGCAGAGGGGCTGGAAAAGGATGCATGGGGTAGATTTCCTCACTGACTTTGCTTGTGGGTCAGCTGGGAAGGTTGCAAATCACACATGGTCACATATGCTTCAACCATAAGTGCCAGCCAGTTGCCAAGTGACCAGATTGCGATCACATGATTGTGGAAGCGCTGAGATGGTCAGAACTTTGAGGACCAGTCATAACAGTTACTGAAGAAGCGGCTAACCAAGGACTATCCATCTACAGCAGTGGGTTGAAAACAGATGACGGATGAAGCTAAACTGCATAACAACAAGTTTATTCTAATCTTAATCTGGCATATTCATTCTTATATCTATTAACATACTTACCATGTTAAATATTGCTTTCCTGGCGTGATCCATAATTCCAGATTTCTTCAGCTACTTAACTGGAACCTAGAAGTCAGAAAACATAGTAACTTAGCAAAGCTTCATTGGCACGAAAAGTAATTTACAAAGGTACAGCTACCAGGCCTCTAGAAATTATTACAATTTGTTTAATAATGCAATTTTATTTGATCGTTGTAAACCACCGTGTTGTACACTCATGTTAGATTACATTTAATGTAGTGTACGTTTAATGTACAACTTGTACACTTGATTACATGAAGGCTGAAACATATATAGAACATTTGCAGGAATGGAGTATGTCTAATGAAAAGAAGGACCAGGGTTGACATGATAACAGTCTTCCAATATTTGAGGGGCTGCCACAAAGAAGAGGTGGTGTCAAGCTATTCCCCAAAGCACCTGAAGGCAGGACAAAAAGCAACGGATGGAAACTCATCAAGGAGAGAAGCAACCTAGAACCAAGGAGAAATTTCCTGACAAGAGAACAATTAATCAGTGGAAGGACTTGCCTCTAGAAATTGTGGGTGCTGTAACACTGGAGGCTTTTAAGAAAGGAGTGGACAACCATTTGTCTGAAATGATGTAGTGTCTCTTGTCTGAGCAGGGGGTTGGACTAAAAGACCTCCAAGGTCCTTTATTTTGTTAAATATTAGAACACGGCATCTATTTCCCATAGAGATTCAGCAACCACACCCTTCTGCTCCTGTAATTACTGTATTATCAATGAATAATGTGGTTTCCAGGCATTAGCTCATGTCCAGTGTAGTAGTAAAGGTTTGCTGGCATTATGCTAACAATAACCTGGCAACTGCCAGAAAGCCAAACACTTCCGCAGCCAGTACCACCCTCTCGACTCGAGACGTAGATTATAGGACCCAACCCCAGGGAATTAATCCAAACTTTAAGGGTGCGAACATGTTCTTGTGTTTCGTGACAGCAATGCAAACATGGGCAGCCTAGGCATGAGGCTTTAACTGCCTCCTATATAGCCGGGATGACGTTCAGCAAAATCTACATTCAGAAAATAGTTCTATTTGCATTCCCCATTGTAAACCAAACTTGGAAAGCTGAGGAGCTGAAGCCAAAAGAGGCAGAGAGTTATTTCCCACAAACTGTGCTAAACAGGAAATATAACAAAATCAACATAAATGTAGGTTTAGGACAAATTCTGGGGATTAAAAGATCTCGCCAAAAGCAGGATTAGCAGTGGAGAACGAGCACACATACACGTCCGTTTTCCATCTCAGGTTTTTTTTGCTCATACCAGCATTTCAAGGCATACAGCTTTTAAATTGCAATATCATCTCACTGTGTGCTATAGACCAGAGGTCTTCAAACATGGCAGCTTTAAGACTTGTGGACTTCAACTCCCAGAATTCTGGGAGTTGGAAGTCCACAAGTCTTAAAGCTGCCAAGTTTGGGGACCCCTGCTATAGACAAACACGGACAATTGCTTCCCTTTGCTTCCCCCTTCCCTTAACGCTTATTAGACTGTGATATACTGGCAGTCCTCGATTTATGACCACAATTGAGTCCCGGAATTCTGTTGCTAAACAAGGCAGTTCTGCCCCGTTTTGTGACTTTTCTTGCCAGAGTTGTTAAGTTAAGAATTGCGGTGTTTCACCTCACATTGCAATTGTTAAGTTTAGTGACGGGGTTGTGCAGTGAATCCGGCTTCCCCACTGACTTTGCTACTCAGAAGGTCGCAAAGGGGGGGATCCCGGGACACTGCGACCGTCATAAATACGAGCCAGTTGCCAAGTGTCCAAATTCTGACATGCCCACAGAGGTGCTGGATTGGTGAGAAAAATGGCTGTTAAGTCCCTTTTGTCAGTGCTGCTGTAACTTCGGTCACTAAATGAATTAAATGCTCTTAAGTCACCTGTATTAAAATACTAAAATAAGTCCACCTTACTTTGGTATGGAAGCTACTGAAGTGTTGTCTTAACTTGATTTAACTTGCTTTATCTTTGATAATTGGTTTTATCACAAGTTGCTTTGAATACAGTCCTCTAGGGGGGGGGGGGGGGGAGTCTGCACCAGCCATTGTTTGAGGGTTGGTGGAACTGCCTAGCTTTCCCACCCCTAATTTTTTTTTTGAGGGGGGGATTGGCTTACTACAGGTAGTCCTCGACTTACAACAGTTCATTTAGTGACCGTTTAAAGTTACGGCACTGAAAAAAGGTGACTTATGACCGTTTCCCACACTTACGACAATTGCAGCACCCCCCATTTTAATCGCGTGATCAAAATTCAGATACTTGGCAACTGGTTCTTATTTACGACGGCTGCAGTGTTCCCTGGGGTCACGTGTTCCCCTTTTGCGACCTTCTAACAAGCGAAGTCAAACGGGGAAGCCAGATTCACTTAACCGCATTACTAACATAACTGCAGTGATTCACTTAACAACTGTGGCAAGAAAGGTCGTAAAAGGGGGCGAAATTCACTTAACCGAGGTCTCACTTAGCAACAGAAATGTTGGCCTCAGATGTGGTCGTACAGTCAAGGACCTGTGTGATTGCTATTATTATTATAACTTTCCCCCTGCTTTTTTATATGTAACTCAACATAAGGGTAACAAATGTTTCGGTTAGCAACACGAATTTTGGGCTCAATTGTGGTCGTAACTTGAGGACTCCCTGTATTGTTTCCAGCTGGCCTGCCTACATTTTAAACAAAGGTTTGACTTAAAGCCAGTTCTGCATAAGGTACAGTAAAGTGCTGCCTTTTATAGCCGCTAATGAGGTCGATTGTGTCATGCACCAAATTGTCCCACTTAAATTCCCAACGCTCCTATTTCAGACCCTTATTTCCCCCCCCCCCAAAAAAAACTTGCATACTTTCTTGGATTTTGGTGCACAGGCAAACCCTGAAAAGGAAGCTACAACTACACCTAGTCCTTGACTTACAAGTTCGTTTAGTGACCATTCAAAGTTACAACGACACTTACGACTGTTGCAGCATCCCCGTGGTCACATGACCAAAATTTGGATGCTGGCTTGCATTTATGACGGTTACAGTGTCCTGGAGTCATGTGATCTTTTGCGACCTTCCTACATGCAATGGGGAAGCCGGATTCATTTAACAACCCCGTTACTAATTTAACACCTGCCGTGTTTCACTTTAACAACGGTGGCAGGAAAGGTTATAAAATGGGGCAAAATTGACTTATTTCACTTAGAAACAAGTTTTGGGCTCAAATGCAAGGTTTAAATCACTTCCATGCTTCCATTTAAAAAAAAAAAAAAAAAACAACCCACGGAAAAAGGTATTTAAACGTTTGCATATTTAGAATCAATGTAATGAGAGCATTTTTACAGCTAAACGAGGAGCCACTCTCAAGTTGCAGGCTGCGATAGAAATCTTAATTCTTGGCAAAAGCTCAGTGCCTGCACATGTTCTGGCTAGAACAGATTAACCATTTCAAGGAAAACTGGATGCTTTCTGGCTAGTTTAGACTGCTATGCAAGAGATATGAAGCAAATCAGACCCCACCTTTTCAGGAGAAGGTATGAAGAAATAGGCCACTGCAAATTTGAACAGAGAAGTAACCGAGTAGTACTTCATACGATAAAAATTGAATAAAGAAAAGTGGAACATACAGTCTCTTTTGTAACAAGCCTTTCAGATTTATCTTTACTTGCTAGAACGTATTTAAAAGCTTCATACTTTTTATAGGGTCTTGCCTAATTTATCTGAACAAGTAACAAACGTAAAATTACTCCTTTCTGAGGAAGCAGCAAACTGCTTCTTTCTATTTCCTTTCCAGATTAGCTAAAATAAGGAACTTGCATTTATACAAATAAGACAAAAGCGTTCATGGATCACCGTGAGAAATTATCTTTGATAATGGCTAATTTTTGCATACAAGTCACCCTTGCAAAAAGGAACTCATTACCACTTGAACACAGCAAACTCCTGATATTTAGAAAGTCAGTATCTGATAGCAACATATACTAAATATTCAAATATTTCACATTTATATTCCTGCAGCTGACTTAATCTATCCAGTTTAAAGTACTGTTGCAACACTTAGAAGTTAATCTTCAATTGGTAAGCATGTATAAAGTCATTGGGGGATGGGACACAGAAACAGAGAGATCCCTATGCATTTCAAATATTAAATATTCAAAGTTTTCAATATCTTTAAGGCCAATCAAGGGTCTCTCCCACATACATTGATGCCTTTATCTGCTCAGTACAAGCTCCCAAATTATGACCTGGTATTTGAGAGCAGCGGTCTAAAAATCTGAAGAGAAATGACAGATGAACAGGTTCAGCTGACATTTATTCAAATTTTCTAAATTCAAACACCAATCTGCTAATTTTCTAGCAAAATTATTTGCACTTCTTCAAAAACAAATGCATTTATACACGCAGGGCTTCCTAATATTGTACTAATTGCCCAAATTGTTCTTTGTTGTAAGTTTTTTAAAAATGCAAAAAATAAGTATTTGACTGCATTTGTGGCATACTTATAATAAAACTGTTAAGTTAAAAAGTGCAATGTTCTGTAGATAAAACTTTACTATTGTATTAGACCCAAGAAAGCATACTTGATAGCATGTTTAAACATATATTTGTAAAGTGTGTGTGTATATATACATACTTCCTCCATAGGTTTTAAAGTAATTTTACCAGTCGGTAACATTTAAAGATAAATTTCCTAAAGGGGAGATTTAAACTAACAGTCTCATATACAAATCTATTTGTTTATTACATTAGAGTCAGTCCTTACAATGCCCATGTCTGCAAGTTCACAAAACGTAGGTTGACACTAAATTCTATTTTCCATTCAAGCGTTACCAGGTGTACTATAAAAGGATGCATATAAGGAAAAATAGCTTCTCCCATATGTAGAGCTAGTCTTAGCAATGATTAAGAAAAGGAAAATTAAGGTTATGGTGGACAATTCAAGTGCTGACTCAGAAGGTGGTCGTAGGAAAAGGCAAGCAACATGATGGAAAGAATGAGGAAAGGAATAAAACTAAAATTGCTATTTACAGTTTACTATATTTATAAGCATAATTAAGAGATTGGGCAAATCCCCTCAAGCAAGTCCCTTATGAAGAAAAGGAGAGAACACGGAAGGGGGGAATCATTCATAGCTTTAAACATTAAATTTTGTTTTCTTCTACAAGGAAATACACATAAGCATAGCAAGATATTATAAACCAAGAACAAAGCCCTTCATTCTGATTAGAAGCAAACTAATCTTTAAAAACATTCTAACATTAAAGAGAGAGGGTGGGCACACAATATTAAAGATGTCGTTTCCTTATATTAGCCTTTAGTTTTAAAATTAGTTTTTTATAATTCAATCTAAACTGATATAAATTATTTAATGTTATAATAAACTTGGTAATTATAATTCAGTTTTTTTATAAACTATACTGATTATACCGATATAATTATCAGTAAATTATAAAATGAACTAAATTATAGGTCAGCTTTTATATAATTAAATGGGGTTTAGATTTTTAATCCTTTATTTTTATAAATAACTGAAGGCTAAACATCTCTAATATGCCTTTCCCTCACAAAACAACCTAGCAAGGTAGGTTGGGCTGAGACCCAAAGTCACTTAACCAGCTTTCACACCTAAAGACAGAATTAGAACTCAGTTTCCTGGTTCCTCGCCTGGGGGGGGACAATGAAAGTGGCTCTCAAACTCGTTTAAAGTTGCTAAATCATGGCTTTGAAGCCCAACAATGTTAATTTACGCAGTAAAAACCATCAGCAATTCATTTGCAGCCACCCCCAAAAGTCTAGTGTTCATTGAGAGATTCACAGCTTCCTCCTTTAAGGCATTAAAAGCAATCCCAACATTTAACTCATCCTGGCCAGCACTAGCAAACATCTCCTGGCTTTAAGTTTATAAAGGGGAGCCATTAACCCGGGTTTCCAAGGATGAATCTAATTTCTGCAACAGCAGAGGACAAATAGGTGACTTGCAAGATATGGAGGGAGCCATTATGGCCGAGAGGAAATGCTTTAACTTTAAAGGAATTCAAAGCCATTGGAGGAAACTACTGTGGCTCAAGGAGGAACTTGAATGTCAATGTCACAGAAACAAGAAAAAGGCAGGTTTTCCCACACCACAGACCTGAATCCAACACAAGCTTTAATCAAACCAATATATCTATATCTATATCTATGTTTTTCTTTTAGCCAGGTTTCTCCTCCGTAACCAAGATTTTTCTTTCTACAGCCCTAGCTCAGTGGAGTCACATCCACTGATTCTGGGCTTTTCCCCCCCTTCTTCTGGCAGCCAGCAGGCCCTATGCTGCCTAGTGAGACACACACACACACACACACACACACACACTATATATATATATATTATATATATACACACACACATACATATATATATATATATAAAATGTTACTTTCCTAGGGTGGTGGCCAAGATAGGTGCAAAAATCATCATTCTGGACACCTCCATACCGTTATCAATGTTTTTATATATCAAGGCTGTCCAACCTTGGCAACTTTGAAGACCTGGGGACTTCAACTCCCAGAATTCCCCAGCCAGCAGAGCTGGCTGGGGAATTCTGGTAGTTGGAGTCCCCAGGTCTTCAAAGTTGCCAAAGTTGGACCTTCTTCCCATATGCTACTACAAGCCGCCCAGAGAAATTTTGCAAAGCATATAAACATAAATTAGGCTCTTATAACATATATATTTAGGTGCTTATTCCATGGGGGGGGGTCTTGCCCGTGCAAGGACATAAGGGACAACCTGTTGGGGGGGGGCTCACCCTCCTCTTCCTCCCCCCCCCAAGGTGAGGATGCAGCTGGGGCCACGTGCTCAAAGACACGTGGAAGCTAGCCCATGCGCTGTCCTGGGGGCTGCTGAGAGAGAGAGAGACCCCCACCCACTCCCTCCCCTCCGTCCAAAATGGCCTCGCCAAAAGCACATGGTGCAGGCCGCAGCAGCCGGGTCTTTGCAGCGGCTTGTCTTTCCTTCCTTCCTTCCCTCCCTCCCCCGGGGCAAGCAAAGCTTTCCAGCCAAAAGGGGAGCATGCAATGCAAGACGCGCATGGTTGCATTCCTACGTGCATGCAGGAAAAAAGCCCCCCCTTCTAACTCTTCTATTCTGCAAACCCCCCCCCCCCCCCACCCAAGCGCGCGGTGCTTCACCTTCCCCGGCTGGTTCTTCCCCGCGAAGGGCAGCTCAGTTCAGCGGAATACGTGACACCCGCAGGCCCCGCCCTTGCGTAACCTCACCCGTAAAAGCGAGAGGCGCAACGCTCCTCCTCCTCGCTCGCTCTCCCTCCACTGCACGCGGTCCTCTCCGCGGCGCGCATATATATAAGCGGAGGAGCCGGCCAATCAGAGCGCCGCCTTTCGCCGCACGCGCCAACCGCCCTTCGCTGATTGGCGGCAGCCTCCGCGCCCCCTTCTCCCAATCTCCCCCCTCCCCCCCCCCCACACACACACGCTCCAGGCAGGTTCCATGAGGAGGGCGGGACTGCTAGGATTGGCAGCCGGCCGACCTATCGGGCACTCTGGTGGGTAATCAGAACTCCGCATTTCGCCCTTCTCCAACCCGCCCACCTACCCCCACCCCCGGCAAGTTCCATGCAGGGGTCGGGACTATTAGGATTGGCAGCCTGCCGACCTATCGTTCGCCCTTGCCGGCGGGCGAGGGGAGCGCTAGGACGAGTCCTTTAGCGACCCTTGAGAAGGGGAAGATTTAGCTGTCTAGTCTAGCCCTCATGTTCAGCAATATAACGTCAGGATGAGAAATGGGCACACGTGGGTCAGGGCCCCAGCGTGTCTGAGGTGGGAGGGAACCAAATGAGGCGGGAAACGCCGGGATAGAAATCACCTCAGGCCCTTCACGAGAAAAGACGCCTTCGTCTCGATTGGCATTGGCCGTCGGCCAATCAGGAGGAGGGAGAGGACCTTTGGCTGTTGGAGAGGGGGCGGAGCAAAGCAAAAAGGCGGGAAATAATCCCAGGCGGGATGGAAATAGTTCAATATGTCGATATAAGCAATTCTGAAAAAAAAAGCGCTTTTATATAGAAGCAGAAAATGAAATGCTTCACCAGCTGCAAAAACCAAAGTGCATCACGAAGTAGCTCATTCATTACAAGCTGGGAGGGACACACAAACATAGGAATAAGCTGCAATTAATTAAAAGATCCAGTGATTAAACATTCCTGATTGCAAAAGACCCATTGTGTCTCTTAAAAGTGGCTGCCTTCTATTTAATCCCAACTGGATTAGAAATTGGAAAATGCCCAGCCAATTGGAGCCCATGGGAAAGTACAACAGTTATTGCAATTTTAAGACCAGTTGACTTCCATTCCCAGAATTCCTCAGCCAGTTGTGCTGGCTGGGGAATTCTGGGAGTTGAAGTCCAAGCATTTTAGGATAGCCAGCTGGCAAAAAAAAAGCTTTAAAACTGTTGTTTTAAAATAAACATTTGTCTTTTGCAGCAAAAGGAAACCGTTAGAAGTTACTTCGGTTTTCTTTTGCAAGAATTTCCACAGAAGGTGATCACAAGATGCCCTCAACCGAATTATTTTCTATTTTCAAAATTACCATCTTGTTTGTTTTTCCCGTGATTTCCCCATCTTTCATCCAACGGCAGGAAGTAAAAGTGCAATTTTGATTTCAAAACAAAATAAAGCAATGCTTCCATGCCTGTTGAACCATGGTATGATTCATTTTACGACCGTGTTACTAGCTTAACAACGGCAGTTGTTAAGATGCGACAAGAATGGTCGTAAAATGGAGCAAAACTCACTTAACCAAGGTCTCACTTAGCAACAGAAATTTTGGCTTCAAATGCAGTCATAAGTCGAGGATAACCTGTGTTATTCTTATTATAACTTTCTCCTGCTTTTTTTATAGGTAGCTCATCATAAGGATAACTGAATATATCGTCATTTAATTACGGGTAGTCCTCAACTTGCAACCATTTGTTTAGTGACCATCCAATATTACAGTGAAAAAAGTGACTTTCAACTAGTCCTCGCACTTATGACCATTGCAACATTCCCCACGGTCATGTAATCAAAATTTGGACGTGTGATCATAGCCATGTGTTATTTGCAATGCCCATTGGTGACTTCAACAGATTTGCTTAACCTTTCCATGATTGTTTGCAGCAATTGGCTTAACAACCTTGGCAAAAAAAAAAAATGGTTGTAAAACAGGGCGCGACTGATTTAACAGCCACCTTGCTTAGCAATGGAAATTCTAGTTCCAATTGCGGTTGCAAGTCAAGGACTTTCTGTATTACGCTACAAACTGTAATTTTATTATTGCAGAAGAGACCGTGTGTGCATAGGTATGCATGTGTGTATATGTGTGTGGGTGCCTTGAATTAGCACAAATAAATGTTTGACACAATTCGGTGCATTGTTGCAAAGACCTCCCGCAACTCTGAGGCATCCCTCAGAGGTGTCCCACTTAACAACCTGTGCAGTCAATAACTGCAACAGGAAGAGCAGGGATTGTACTTGTTAAGCCAGGCAATCACAGGATTGCATAAAAAATTGCATAAAAATAAATAATGGGCAGCTCCATCACAGCCATAGCTTGCGAACTACCTTTAAACCAGGAATGTCGAACCTTTGACAATTTTAAGACTTGTGGACTTCAACTCCCAGAATTCCCTAGCCAGCATGTCTTAAAATTGCCAAAGATGGACACTTTTGGTGTAGACCCTAAAGGATGACCCACCCAACTCCATTTTGCAGGGCACCTAGGATTTTATCCCAAATTCAGGAGAGCAAATTAATCCTTTAGCTGGCAGCTTATTTATTTATTTATTAGATTTTTTTATGCCGCTTCTATTACTTTTATAAGTAACTCAAGGTGGTGAATGTTCCTAATACCCTTTTCCTTCTCCTATTTTACCCACAACAATAACCTTGTCAGGTGCATAGGGCTGAGAGGGAAGGACTGGCCCAAAGTCATCCCACTGGCTTTCATACCTAAGGTGGAACTAGAACTCCCTGTCTCCTCATCATTGGCCCAAAGTCACCCAGTCGGCTTTCATGCCGAAGGCGGAACTAGAACTCCCTGTCTCCTGATCATTGGCCCAAAGTCACCCAGCCGGCTTTCATGTCTAAGGCGGAACTAGAACTCCCTGTCTCCTGATCATTGGTCCAAAGTCATCCAGTTGGCTTTCATGTCTAAGGCGGAACTAGAACTTCCTGTCTCCTGATCATTGGCCCAAAGTCACCCAGCCGGCTTTTGTGCCGAAGGCAGGAGTAGCATGGCTGGCTGGGGAATTCTGGGTGTTGGAGTCCACAAAATCTTAAAATTTCCAAAGTTGGAAATTTCCAAAGTTGTTCTAAACACCCCAAACCCTGAAGGCCCAATTATCAGAGGACCAGAACATCATTCCCCACCCCACTTGGCAGAAATTTCACGAGGTCAAGGAGAAACAACTTTGGGGTGGGGGGCAGAAAAACATACCCCAGATATCAAAACAAGCTCTTGGCAAGGCGGACGTGAAGGTCTAGCAATTCAGGTGCCCCAAGGTTACAGACCAGCGCCTGCTTTTCCAATCTTTGTTTGTACGAAGCAACCAAATATTTGGGCCCAGCCCTCCCATTGAAAATTTACTCAGAAACACCAAGGGTCACGAACAGCTCTGGCGCCTGCTGTTTACCAGAAAATAGACATCTACGTGCCGGTCGGAGAAGTGTGCAATATTAGGATTAAAAACGGACAAAGGTATCTCGGATCCAAATATTGCACACCTCTGTTTGGGTTCAGGCAGCACGTATAACCAGGTCAATCATAAACTTAATTCCTGCCTTCGTATCACTTGCTCGGTTGGCTTTCGGCTAAATTATTATTATTATTAATTAATTAATTTTTTTTTTTTTTCCTGGTTCAGCACGTGACGCTAAATCAGCCTGAATTATATGTTTCTGATTGGGAATCCCAAAAACGAATTCCTTAGGATAAATGGGTGGTGTGAATGCAGCGTGAAACAGTTTGGCTTTCGGCTTTCGAAAGTTTACAGGAAGTCCTCGGCTTACAACCGTTCATTTAGTGACCGTTGGAAGTTACTACGGCCCTGAAAAAAAATGACTTAGGACCATTTGTCATACTTACGACCGTGGTAGCATCCTCACGACCACGCGATGAAAATTCGGATGCTTAGTAGCTGACTCACATTTATGACGGTTGACGTGTCCTCGCGACACGCGACCATCTTGGCGACAAGCGAAGTTAATGGGGAAGCCGATTCTTTTAACAGCCGTCTTGCTCACTTAACAACTGCAACGACTTAAGAATTGTGGCAAGGAGGTTCGTAAAACAGAGTCAAAATTCGCTTAACCAACATCTCACTTAGCAACAAAAATTTTGGGCTCAACTGTGGCCATAAGTTGAGGACTACCTGTATTTACTTATGAGACGTGTACCCAGATAGTCCTTCACTTACAACTATTCGTTGAGTGGCTGGGGAATTTTGGGAGTTTTGCAGTCCACCCATCTTAAAGTTGCCAAGGTCGAGTAACACAAGGCTTTGGTCCTTAGCAAGATCAGGCCTTTAAAACTCTCCCAGGTGCCTTTACTCCACATGCAGGAACTGAAATCTGCTAACAATTAAAACAATTAAAACCCAATTTAAGAGTAGTGAAAGAGGAAGGACAGACCGCAAGAATGGTGTGGGGGAAAAAAAAAGCCCCATCCGGCAAGTCATGCACAGATGAAAAAGAGAACTTTCCAGACTAAAAATAAAGTAAATTGGGAATAATTTCCCTCTTTTAATCACCAAGAAAATTGCTGGGGCTTTTCCTGTTGGTGCAAAGGTGAGTCTGATCAGCTAAGACCACCCAGTATTTTTGCACATTCAAAAAACAAAAACAAACCAGGTGCTTTTCTGCTCACTGCAGAGAAACTGTAAATAATAGTTAAAGTATTAATCAGAGCCCAGGAAAATCCCTGCTTAATTGTTCTACTGATTAAGCTGGCGCTTTGTTATTTTTCTCTTTTTTTCCTCACTCTTTTCCCCACCTTAATTTAAAAAAAAAACCTTTTTAGTTTTTAACAGCCATCCGGAGGGAGGGAAGTAGTCCTCCACTTATGACCACAATTGAGCCCAAAATATATGGTGCTCAGTGAGAAATTTGTTATGTAACTTTTGTCCCATTTTACGACTTTTCTTGCCACCGTTGTTAAGTGAACCACTGTAGTTGTTACATTAGCAACACAATTGTGAATCCGGCTTCCCCATTGACTGTGCTTGTCAGAAGGCCGCAAAAGGGATGCTGCAACGGTCATAAGTATGAATCAGTGGCTAAGCGTCTGAATTTTGATCACGTGACTGTGGGGGAAGCTGCAATGGTCATAAGTGTGAAAAAATGGCCGTAAGTCCCTTTTCTCAGTGTGTTGTAACTTCAAATGGTCACTAAGTGAATTACTGTAATTCGAGGACTACCTGTAGTCGGCACCTTAAAGAACACGATTCTGACCAACATTTCCATTGGTAAGCCAGGAGGTTGTTTGTTGAGTTGTGTCATCACATTTTAGGACCTTTATGCCAAGGTTGGTAAGTGAATTGCTGCAGTTGTTAAATGAATCATGCGGTCATTGAACAAATCTGGCTTCCCTGTTGACTTTGATAGTCAGAAGGCTGCAAAAGGTGATTACATGACCCCAGGACAGTGCAACCGTCATAAGTACATGCCAGTTTCCAAGCATCCGAATTTTGATCACCTGATCATGGGGATGCTGCAATGGTCGTTAAGTGTGAAAACTGTCGTACGTCAAGGACTACCTGTATGGCATCATCTTCTTAACCACTGGAATTCTCCAATTTGTGCCTGTTAAGGATTCACCGTAGACAACCTTTGATCCAAAGCTGTGGTTTTTTTTCTCACCATCCATAACAAATCATTGTTATGAGTTGATTCAAATTAGCAACTGGACTTTCTCTCTAACTTTAAAACTGACATACCTGTACAGTTACTCCTCCACTTACGACAGTTCATTTAGTGACCGTTTGAAGTTAGAACAATTCAGGAAAAAAATGGCTTAGGAGCGTTTTTCACACAAAGTTCTAAAGGCATGAAAAAGTGGCTTACGACCTGTTTTCACACTCCGAGTCCCAGCTGATCGGGAGGAAATGGGGATTTTGCAGTAATCTTCCCCTGGAGTGGCTGGGAATGGAGATTTTACAGTATCCTTCCCCTGGAGTGGGGTGGGAATGGAGATTTTACAGTATCCTTCCCCTGCCACGCCCACCAAGCCATGCCCACCAAGCCACACCCACAGAACCCCAGAAATTTGTTAAAAAAAATTAATCCCACCACTGGCGTGGATGTGCGCACCCACATGGACTCACTTGCCCACCTCTTCCACAGCCCGTTCCGAATAGTTCAAGCAGCCCAGGGGTTAGGGATCCCTGGTTAAATTAATCATGTAGTCGTTAAATGAATCTCATTCGCCCCCCCCCCCATTGCTTGTTGGAAGCCAGCTAGGAAAGTCTCAAATGGGGATCACATGACCTCAGGATACTGCAACCATCATATAAATACATTCAATTGCCAAGTGCCACATGCCCAATTTTTGATCACGCGACCAAAGGGATGCTATCCATAGTTGTAAAGTCACTTTTTTTCAGTGCAGTTGTAACTTCGAAGAGTCGCTAAATGAATGGTGGTAAGTCGAGGAGTATATACACAAAATGCACGGATATATCAGCTATGGAAAAAAAACTGCTGACGCCTGGTGCATGCATTACTCTGTACACAAAGATGAAACATAGCATAATTTTTAAATATCACCTTTCGCAAGCTCCTGTACCACGCCATTGGCGATAGCTTTTAAAAAGGGGCATGCCATTTCTCTAATCACACTCACCTCGCTGGTTGATGGGATCCTTGGCAACATAAGCGACGTAATCGGTTGTATCCTGGCCAGAAATATAATTCAGAAACAAGAGAGTTAATGTTGAGGCTGCTGAGGCTGAGAAGCAGGACTTATAGCGGGAGGAATGAAGAGGAAGAGGAGTTAAGATAAATTTAGCCTGGATATGTTATGGCCATGTTCATTGGCATTCCACAACCTCCAAATGTGCCGGATTACAGTTCCCATAATCCCCTGTCAAGGGGGTTCAGATTTTTTTCTTTTAATTTAAATTTAACGTTAGAATGCAGAGCTGGGCCAAGGATGGGAAAGATATTAGCAGTGCACCAGTTTGTGAATAGATTGACATTTCTTCACAGGAGGATTTAAAAGGAAGTTGGAAGGCCTCTGAGGGAGATGTGGTAACCCTGGGTGAGGGGTTGGACTAGATGACCTCTGGGGACCCCTTCCAACCTTTTCATTCTAGGATTCCATAAAAGAATAAATTAGCCAAAGTTATGGGTTATTAACCTTGCTTAGCATGCTGTGGGAATGCATCTGCCAGATCTTCATTGACTTGGTTAACAGTGGACTGGAATAATGTCACTCAATCCTTCATGACAGTGTTTCTCAAAGCTTGGCAGCTTGAAGACTTGGGGACTTCAGTTCCCAGAATTCCCTAATTAGTTATGCTGGCTGGGGGATTCTGGGAGTTGAAGTCCACAGGCCTTCAAGCTCACAAAATTGAAAAACACCAAATGAAGCAATACAGAAAATTGTAACTCTTTAGTGCCATCTCCTGGGTGCGTGAATGTTGCAACCCAAATAGAATAATGTATACAATGAAGGGATGTCCATAGGATGGGGGCAAAAAGGTCAAGATGGCTGCTCCACTTGCCACCATCTTGGTTTTTTGGCCTATCTCTGCCAGGGTTCTCTCATGACACCAAACCTTTCTTTTTCTCCTTTATTTAAGTCTTTATATATTTTCTTCTTTATTCAGACTTTCTCTGACAGACCCAGGAGCAAAATCTTAGCTTCAGCCCCATTTCTGTACTTTCTTCAGACTGCACCCTGTATCTGAGTCTCTTTTTCCTTCATTGTTTTTTGTCTGTTGAAGCTCAGTAAGCAGAATTGTGTGAGGAACTTCCTAAAATACTAAATTAACTTTTGGGGTCATGTTTTAACCAAGGATGTCCACAGCAGTTTAAAAAAAGTCAAGAGGCTGACAGTAGCTGAGTTTTTAGATTTTTCAGGGTTTTTTTATTTTACATATTTTATATTCTTTCTAGTTTTTAAAGCTTTTTACTGTTTTTTAAAAGTAAAAGCTTAAAAATCTTTTAAAGCTTTTACTGTTTTTATTTATTTATTTAATTCTGGTAAATAAAATACTATTTTTATTCTATTCTTCCTATGCCGATCTACAACAATGATAAATATTTTACTTGACTACACCTGTATGATTGAAGCCCTACCCCCCTTTTTAATGGAGGTGTGGCCTCAATCCCGCAGGCAGAGCTGAGCTGCCATTTTGACTTCTTTGACCTCTCTTGGGTTTGGCCTTGATTTGAACAGATTAGTTTTACTAATTCAATGAAAGGGCTGATCCCATCTTGACCTTTGTGATGCCATAACATAGGGGAAGGGAATACCATATTTAGATTTTTTTTTTATGGGAAGATGTCAAAATTCAAACAGAGTAATGGGGAGGGTGTCAGAAATGGTGGCTATGATGATGCAATCATGTCTTACTTGGATCATGCATGCAGAACACATGTAAAAATGACATGTCATGTCTGCAAGAAGCCATCTTAATTTTTTTAACTCTCTACTACATCAAGGTTTCCCAGCTTTGGCCACTTTAAGACATGTGGACTTCAATTCCCAGAATTCTCAACAGTGGCTTCTCCGGCTGTGGAATTCTGGGATCTGAGATTTACACCACTGGAAGTGAATAGAGTTAGGAAACACCACCCTATATGGACATTCCCTGTACACAAACCCTGGAAAGCTCTGACATCAACACCGCTTGGCATTCTGGGAAAATAAAATGACAGTCGACAACAGCTCAGGAGTGCCAAGAAACAAACTTTAGAGAAAAGGAGAAATGGATAAAATGAATGTAATGTAACAAGGCAGCTTGACACGATGGCAGTGAATGGGTTCCCAAGAAAATGTGGTGAACAATTCTTCTCTGTCATTTTTAAATGTAAAGTAACACCCCAGTTTGACTCAAATGCTGCAAGGGGTCAATCCTTCCTTTCTTCTTTCATCTTTGCCCAGATTTGCAGATATTTCAATCTGGGTGTGCTAAAGACTCCTGAGTTCAGATTTCAGCAATCTCTCCAGATAACTGAACTTCAACTCTCAGAATGTATTGTAACAGCCTGGCTAGTTGGACCCGGATTGTGGGAGCAATAAGCTGACTTTGTAGAAACACCACTTATGGGGGGCCAAAAGCCCTAATAAGCAGGTATATACAAAAGAATGAAGGCTATTGCTATAAGTGCATTGTAAGCCGTCCTGAGTCTTCGGAGGAGGGCGGCATATAAATTGAACTAATAAAATAAATAAATAGCTGGAAATTCCTAGTCCATATGTCTTAAAGTGGCCTACTTTGGAAAACTAGACTCCTCAAATTCAAAGCAGTTCTTGACAGCTTTACCAAAGTGGTTTACCACTGTTTTCTCTCATCTAAGATTTCCTGGTGGTCTCTTTTCCAGTAGTAATCAGGGCCAACCCTTCCCAGCTTGCAACCTCAAACAAGAACTCCCAGCGATGTGAGCCGTACCGGCTGGGAGCTCTGCAAGTCATACTGGCTGGGAGACCTTGTGTGAGGATGCAAGTTATGAAGGGTTGGCTCCTTAGTACTGGAAAAAGAGACCACCAGGAAATATTAAACGAGAGAAAACAGTGATAAACCACTTCTGTAAAGCTGCCAAGAACTGCATGGATTAGAGGAGTCTAAAACAGTGTTTTTTCAAAGTAAGCCATTTTAAAACATATGGTCATCAACTTCCAGAATTTCCCAGCCAGCCGTGCTGTACTGGGGAATTCTGGGAGTTGAAGTCCACGCATCTTAAAGTGGCTAAGTTTTTTTTTTTTAATTGAAAAAGTTTTACAATTACATTTTCTCCCCAATTCCCCCCCCCCACCCTCCCTGGCCTCCCTAACCCTCCCTAACCCCCCTAACCCTCCCCTCCCCCCCAGACTTCCTCAGAATATAATCCAAATCAAAATCCCCTTTTTATAAAACTTGAACCCGTCCACCCCCTGTATATTTTTCACATCTTCACAAAATTCTATTATTCTATCCCTATATAATCTTTCAGTTAAAAGCTATCTGATATTGCCTAGTTTGATATTTATTCTGCACATAATCTACCCACTTTTTCCACTCCCATACATAAGTCTCTTGTGAGCGGTCTTTTAAATATGCTGAAATCTTCGCCATCTCTGCAAAACTGGCCATCTTCAAAGTCCATTCTTCAATAGTAGGCATAGCTTCATTTTTCCAATATTGTCCTATCAGTAATCTTGCTGCTGTTATCATATACAATATCAACTTTATTTCACCCAATGTAAAACCCTTAACTATACCCAATAAAAATAATTGTGTGAGAAAAAAACTAAATTTTTTTCTTCAAAACATTCTGCATAACCCACCAGATTTTTATACAAAAAACCTGGCTAAGGTTGACTTAGTACAATTCAGGCCTGTGGCCTCTCAGTTTTGACTTCCTTGTTAAGTCCCACAACTGCTTGGACTGCAACAGCACAACTCCACAACCCTCTTCCTCACCTGACATGCTGTCACAGATCCACAAAAGATTTTGGTTACACTCTCTGGCTTATTTTAAAACTGTGCTCCAGTGGTCACTGGATTACCAGTATTTTACAGGTTGGAAGTGCCACACACTTACCAAATTGGCCGTGCTCTGAGCTCTCCCAATCTACAGATCCATAAACTGAAATAATAATAACTTTATTGTCATTGTACGTGTATACACAGTATACCCATACAACGAAAATTCACTTAACACCCAAAGACCAGGTCCAACACACATAACAATCCCCAAACATACTCCCACCCACCACAAATTCCTCACCCCTAAACCATCCAAACATCCACACAACAGACCAAGTAATGCTGCCCAACAGCTCACTGATGGTGAAACGTTATCTATCCTGCTTGATATATAACTCCCTTCCAACTCTGTTCTTCTCTTATTCTGACCCAACGAGTTAGATTTTGCCCTATATGTTGCCTTCAAAAAAATAACCTAACCAAGATTAAAAGCTAAATGGTTGTGAGAATGGAGCCGCTGGGCTTTTTAACTCAACTTGGCTAAACAGATTCATCTTGTGAATCTGGCTAGCATTTTGCAGGGCGCAGAAGCTGCTTCCTAGCTTCTACGGAGGCCAAAAAAAAAAAAAAAAATCCAGCTCATTAGTTGTTAAATTGCCTTTGTTCATTTCCTGCGAGGCAGAATCTCTCGCTCGCTTTTTCTGTGACATTTACACAGCCCAGACAAACACATTGAAATTTTGACACCTGAGCAAGCGGCAAGCTTTTCTCTAGCCTGGAAACAAGCCTTTTGTTATCGTGTGTGTGTGTGTGTGTGTGTGTGTGTGTGTGTGTGTGAGTGTTTGTGTGATATGTGTGTGTTTGTGTGTCTATCATACACACACACACACACACACAAATGTACATCCTTTCTTACCTTCATACCTCTGCCTGCATTTCATCCCCATCTAAGGGAAATGTTTTAGCAGAGACATCTTTATAAAAACACCATGCAGGTAATCCTCGACTTACAACAGTTCATTTAGTGACCATTCAGTTCTAACGCCACTGAAAAAAGTTACTTATGTTATGACCGTTTTTCACACCAGTGACCATTGCAGCATCCCCATGGTCACGTGATCAAAATTTGGATGTTTGTCAACTTCTCGACTGGACTACTGCAATGCTCTCTACATGGGGCTCCCCTTGAGGTGCACGCGGAGGCTCCAACTGGTCCAGAATGCGGCCGCGCGGGTGATATTGGAGCGACATGGCGCTCACATGTAACACCTCTCCTACGCAAACTGCACTGGCTCCCAGTGGCCTTCCGAGTGCGCTTCAAGGTGTTGGTTCTTACCTTTAAAGTGCTCCATGGCTTAGGACCTGGGTACCTACGAGACCACCTTCTGCAACCGATAACCTCCCACCAACCAGTATGCTCCCATAGAGTGAGCCTTCTCAGGGTACCGTCACTAAAGCAATGTCGACTGGGGGAGAGACCTTCTCTGTGGGGGCACCTACCCTTTGGAACAGGATACCCCCAGGGATACGAATGATCCCAGATCTCCGTACATTCCGTCGTGAACTTAAGACCTTTCTGTTTCACCAAACCGGGCTGGCATAATTTTTTTCTAATTGTCTAAATTTTATGCTGAAGATCTTAACTTAACTGATGAGCCAAATTGTCTTAATTATTTTAAATTGCTTTTATTTCACATTTTTATATGTATGTATGTTTGACTGTTCACCGCCCTGAGTCCTTCGGGAGAAGGGCGGTATAAAAATTAAATAAATAAATAAATAAACTGGTTCATATTTACGACGGTTGCATTGTCCCGGGGGTCACGTGATCCCCGTTTTGCGACCTTCTGACAAGCAAAGTCAAGGGGGAAGCCAGATTCCAGCAACAACCGTGTTACTACCTTAACAGGTGCAGTGATTCACTTAACAACTGTGGCAAGAAAGGTCGTAAAATGGGGCAAAACTCACTTAACAACTGTCCCACTTAGCAACTGAAATTTTGGGATCAATTATGGCTGTAAGTCAAAGACTACCTGTACCAAGTAATACCACATCGTCACTATCATCATAATTATTATCCTCACCATTATTATTTCGAAAGACGTTATCGTCATGTTCTGCAGCAGGAGAATTACAGGGACTTGACTTACGACACAACTGGGCCGGGGACTTGTTGTTAATGAGTTACACCCCATTCTTTGCCATGGTCTTTAAGTGAGTCATGCGATTGCCAAGCGAATCCAGCTTCCCGGATTTGACTTTGCTTGTCGACAGTATGCTGGGAAGTCACATATGGCAATCCAGTGATCCTGGATGCTGTATTTGTCTTAAACAAAGCACCGTTGTAACTTTGAACAATTGTTAAACTGATAGCTGTAAGCCGAGGATTATCTGTAGTATCATTTTGTTAATTAAGAGAGTGTTGATCTCTGATTTTAGACTAAGGCTGGTTTTAGACTAAAAGCTCTATGGATTGGGCCTCTATTTAGCAGGAAGGCAATTGTTTTGCTGTTGAACATATTTTCTTAATTAAATAAGGGGAAGAGGTGAAGAGTCTCTTTACTATGAGGATTAGGGTTCAAGTGATCGAGTCTTCTCTTCTCTTTTTCATCCATTTACTTCCTTTCCTTTTCCTTTCTCTTTCCCTTTCTGATTCCTTTCCTTTTCCTCCCTCCCTTTTCTTCCTTTCCTTTCCTTTCTTTTCCCTTCCTTTTCCCTTCCTTTCTTTCCCTTTCCCTTTCTCTTTCCCTTTCTGTTTCCTTTTCTTTTCTTCCCTTCACTTTCTCTTTTCCCTTCCTTTCCCTTCCTTTCCTTCCTTTCCTTTTCTTCCCTCCCTTTCTTCCTTTCCTTCTTTCACTTTCCCTTTTCCTTCCCTTTCTGTTTCTTTTCCTTTTCTTCCCTTCCCTTCCCTCTTCTTCCTTTCCTTTCCTTTCTTTTCCCTTCCTTTTCCCTTTCCTTTCTTTCCCTTTCCCTTTCTCTTTCCCTTTCTGTTTCCTTTTCTTTTCTTCCCTTCACTTTTCTTCCTTTCCTTCCTTTCCCTTTCCTTTGTTTCCTTTCCTTTTCTTCCTTCCCTTTTCTCCTTTCCTTCTTCACTTTCCCTTTTCCTTTCCCTTTCTGTTTCTTTCCTTTTCTTCCCTTCCCTTCCCTCTTCTTCCTTTCCTTTCCTTTCTTTTCCTTCCTTTTCCCTTTCCATTTCTCCTTTCCTTTCCTTCTCTTCCCTTCCTTCTTCCTTCCCTTTCTCTCCTTTCCCTTTTTCTCTTTTCCTTTCCTCTCCTCTCCTCTCCCTTTCATCTATTTACTTTCTTCCCTTTCTCCTTCTTCATCCATTTCCTTCCTTTCCCTTCCTTTTCCCCTTCCTTTCCTCCCCTCCCCTCCTTTTTCACCCATTTACTTCCTTTCTTTTTTCCTTCCCTCCCCTATCTATTTCCTTCTCTTCCTTTCTTTTTATTATCCATTTATTTCCTTTCCCCTTTTCTTCCCCTTCCCTTTTGCCTTGCCTTTACTGTTGCCTTTTAGACATTATTTTAATCATCTTTTCTTGCAGCAGTGGAGTTTGGAAAAAAAAAAAAATCTCCTTGCCAAGGTTATATTATCTGCTGCTTTGAAAATGTCAGCTTTGTTAGATTCTGAGATAAATGACCTGAAGAAGGATCATAACTCAGTAACACAGAGACACAGACTGCCATGTAGGCACCATTTCTTCACATAATGCCTCATTCATCATCATTTAATGACCCCGTAATCCCTTGCAGGAGGGGTGGGGAGTCTGGGCAACTGAATGGAGCTAGCAGAGTGTTTTAATGGCCGGATGCCTTTCCTGTCGCCAATGCAGAGTTTTGTTCAGCAGATAAATTCTCATTGTGCCCAGATAGAGAAATATCTGCCTCTACCTAGGATCGAACTCACAGCCTCCTGATTGTGAGGCAATTTGGCCACTGACTTGTATTTACGATGGTTGCAGCATCCAGGGAGTGGATGAGGTGTCACACCATCCCCTTTTGCGACCTTCTGACGAGCCAAGGCAATGAGGAAGCCAGATTCACTTAAGGACCTTGTTAAGTGACAGTGATTCACTTAACAACTGTGGCAAGGAAGGTCGTAAAATGGGACACACAACCCACTTAACAACTGTCCTGCTTGGTTGGCCTCAATTGTGGTTGTAAGTCGAGGATTACCTGCTCAAGAGCCTTGGTAGCGCAGCAGACTAAAGTGCTGTTAAGTAGCACCAGCTGCCTGCAATTACTGCAAGTTCGAATCTCACCAGGCTCAAGGTTGACTCAGCCTTCCATCCTTCCGAGGTAGGTAAAATGAGGACCCGGATTGTGGGGGCAATAAGTTGACTTTGTATAAAAAAGGACACCGCTTGGGGGGGGGCGCGAAAGCCCTACTAAGCAGGTATATACAAAAGTATGAAGGCTATTGCTTAATGCATTGTAAGCCACCCTGAGTCTCCGGAGAAGGGCGGCATATAAATCGAACCAATAAATAGATAGATAGATAGATAGAGAGAGAGAGAGAGAGATAGAGAGATAGATAGATAGAGAGATAGATAGATAGATAGATAGATAGATAGATAGATAGATAGATAGATAGATAGATAGATAGATAGATAGATAGATAGATAAATAGATAAATAAATAAATAAATAAATAAATAAATAAATAAATAAATAAATAAGAAATGGCAGTCATCAGTGGCAGGATAATCTGGTTTTCATCCGGATGGAAGAATTTATGAATCCTTTTTATCCGTTTCAGACTCTTTGAGGAAAGTGGAATAATTTTTGGGGGGCTAACAGTGGATGAAGAGTGGAAGAGGAGCACCCCAGACCAGAGTCTGCCCCAAAGAAGAGGGGGGCAAATTATTCTCCAAAGCACAAGAAGGCAAGACAAGAAACAATGGTTGGAAACTAATAAAGGAGAGAAGCAACCTGGAATTAAGGAGAAATTTCCTAACAGTGAGGACAATTAACCAGTGGAACTGCTTGCCACCAGAAGTTGTGGTTGCTCCATCACTGGCGGTTTTTTAAGAAGAGTCTACTCTAGACAGTCACTTATCTGAAATGGTAGGTTCTCCTGCTTGAGCAGGGGGCTGGACTAGAAGACCTCCAAGGTCCCGTCCAACTCTTGTCATTTTACCTGTATTGAACAAAGATAGGGAACACTCTGCCTTACCTTTATGGAGGATTCCCGTGTCTGTGAAACTGGTGAGGCAGAAGTAAAGGATGGTTGGGATGAGAAGGTTGCCACAAATGATGGGAAAAGCCCAGGAGACATTCAGGCCCAGCCAGGTGCCCCTGAGGACAGCAAAGGACATTGTGGGTCTCTCACACGCTGGACTCCCACAACTGCAGCAACTTCTCTTTAGCACACGGTCCCTACCCGCTAAGCTGAAGTCCACCTGAAGAATGTCCCAGAATTCCCAGAAGGTGGCCCTCAACTCCCAGAATTCCCAGAAGGTGGATCTCAACTCCCAGAATTCCAGAAAGTGGACTTCAACTCCCAGAATTCCCAGAAAGTAGACCTCAACTCCCAGAATTCCCTAGCCAGCAATACTCAGCTCAACCCAGCTGAGAGAGCGCCAAGGACCCCCAGTTGTTGTCTTCTTCTTCTTCTTCTTCTTCTTCTCTTCTTCTTTCTTCTTCTTCTTCTTCTTCCTTCTTCTTCTTCTTCTTCTCCTTCTCCTCTCCTCATCCTCCTCCTCCTCCTCCTCCTCCTCCTCCCTCCCTCTTCTACATATGCCCCTCTTCCTCCTAGCACTGATGATGTTACCTAGTTGGGTCATGAAAGGACTGCAAAAAAACCACCAAGCTTAGAGAAGCACCTAGGTTTCCTCCTCCTCTTTCTCCTTCTCCTCTTCCTCCTCCTCCTCCTCTCCCCGAACCCCCCTGCCTCCTAGCACTGATGGTATTACCAAGTTGGGTCACGAAACGTCTGCCAGGAAACGACCAATCTCAGAGAGCACCCAGCACCCTATTCCCCCTTCATCCATCCATCCCTCTGGAGGCCGCCGGAGGAAGGAAAGATGCGCGCGTGGCTTCTCCATACTCACGGGAAAGTGAAAAAGAGGCAGCTCAGCGCCACGAGGGTGCTGAAGTGGAAAGAGGCGAAGGATCCCGAAACGAGGGGGTGGCAGCCATCCCTGCCGGACGCCATGTCTGGAGGAAGAGAGAGAGAGAGGAGAGACCCCGGGAAGCTCTTGGCCCAAGCCAAGTGGGGACCCAATGGGAGGCGGTTGTCGTGGCGAGGCGGTGACAATGGCCGGAGGAGGGGAGGGGGCGGGGGTCTCTTCTGCTCTGGAATGTTACTGGGTGGCAGTTGGAGAAGATGGTGGGACCTAGTAGAGGTCTCCTGCACGAGCAGGGAGGGGTTGGACTGGATGACCTCCAAGGTCCCTTCCAACACTCTTACTGTTACTGACCGCAGGGAGCGATTTGATGGGTGCTGTCCCATCAATTTGTGGCCTGGATCTGGCGTGGAGCTGATTTGACAGGCAGACTTCTCTCCCTTTGCAAAGGGGGTTTCTTGGCTCACCCCAAAATCGGAATCTCCACGTAATTCAGGCCAAGCCAAAACAACAACAACAACAACATTTATTAAAGGGATTCTTCAGACATTTATTTATTAGGAGAAACTTCCCGACAGTGAGAACAATTAACCAGTGGAACGACTTGCCACCAGAAGTTGTGAATGCTGCAACACTGGGAGTTTTTAAGAAGAGATTGGATAACCCTTTTTCTCAAATGGTGTAAGATCTCCTGCCTGAGCAGGGGGCTGGACTAGAAGACCTCCAAGGTCCCTTCCAACACTGTTATTCTACTCTATTAAGAGGTATTCTTTGATAAAATACAGATATTGCCCGACTTACGGCCGTTTGTTTAGGGACCGTTGAAAGCTACAACGGCACTGAAAAAGGGACTTATGACCGTTTTTCACACTTACGACCGTTGCAAGATCCCTGTGGTCACATGATCGAAAGTCAGACCCTTGGCCACTGACTCATACTTATGACAGTCGCAGCGTCACTTAACAACTGTGTTACTAACTGAACAACCGCGGTGATTCGCTCAAACAGCGATGTCAAACAAGGTCGTAACATGGGGCAAAACTCCCGTAATTGTCTCACTTAGCAACTTAGAAGTTTGGGACACAATTTTGGTCGTAAATCAAGGACTACCAGCAGGATTTTTTTAAAAAATGATATTTTACAGTAATATCTGTATATTACTGATATACAGTATCAGTATGATACTGTGATATCCTGATCACAAAAATATATTTATTAGGAAACCTGTAACCATGAAATAAAGTAGATTTCCCTCCTCTATATTTCTCTTTTGTTTTCTTTAACATTAGTTTTTATTGTTATTTTTTGAATTTGGGTTTCTGCTGTTTTTTTTCTTTGGGATTAAAGATTGTGCTGTTAATTGTGCGAGGGGCCTTTTCGGTGGTCTTGTCTTTTTTTATTTTCTTGCAATCGGTAAATCCCATTTGAAAAATACAGGTTGTCCTCTACTTACAACAGTTCATTTAGTGACCGTTTGACGTTACGACGGCATTAAAAAAGTGACTTAGGAGCCTTTTTCCCACACTTACGACCATTTGCAGCATTCCCATGATCATGTGATCAAAATCAGAAGCTTGGGAACTGACTCTTATTTATGACGGTCGCAGAGTCCCTGGGGTCACGTGGTCCCCTTTTTGTGACTTTTTGAGTCACGGGAGCCAAGTCAACGGGAAAGCCAGATTCACTTAACAACCATATTACTAACTTAACATCTGGAGTGATTCGCTTAACAACGGTGGCAAGAAAGGCCCTTTAAAAAGGAGGTAAAACAGATGTCTCATTAAGCAGAGGAAAATTTGGGCTCAATTGCGGTCGTACGCCGAGGACTACCTGTTGAAACTCCAAACGGCCACTAAATGAATGGTTATAAGTTGAGGACTTACCTATACAAGGCTCCTCATATTGTGACCTCCACTTTTGGTTGTGTCTTGCACACTTACGTCGCAGCGGCGGCTGCTGCAGTGCAGAAGGCGGCTGGGAGGAACCCGCAACGGAGATGCTGAAATTATCACTCGTACTTAAGACGGTCGTAGCATCCCGGGGTTACGCAATTTCATTTTGCAACCTTCTGACAAAGCAAAGTCAACAGGGAAGCCAGATTCACTTAACAACCATCTTGCTAACTTAAACAACTGATACAGATACAGATTAACAGAGTTGGAAGGGATCTTGGAGGTCATCTAGTCCTACCCCACTGCCCAAGCAGGAAACCCTACACCATTTCTGACAGATGGCAGCCTGGTCTCTTCTCGAAAGCTTCCAGTGACCTGCGGCGATTCACTTAACAACCGCCATCAAGCAAAACGAGGCGAAATTCACTGAACCCGTCTCAGCGACAGAAAATTGGCGGACGTTAAGTCGAGGACTGCCTGTCCAAAATCTAGCCTGCAAAAATCTGGATGTTTTCTCGGTTTTCTTTCTTTCTTTCTTTCTTCTTTTTCTTTCTTTCTTTCTTTCTTTCTTTTCTTTCTTTCTTTTTCTTTCTTTCTTTCTTTCTTTCTTCTCTTTTCTTTCTTTCTTTCTTTCTTTTTTCTTCTTTCTTCTTTTTTCTTTCTTTCTTTCTTCTTTCTTTCTTTCTTTCTTTCTTTCTTTGTTTCTTCTTTCTTCTTTCTTTCTTCTTTCTTCCTTTCTTTTCTTCTTTCTTCCTTTCTTTCTTTTCTTTCTTTCTTTCTTTCTTCTTTCTCTTTTTCTTCTTTCTTTCTCTTTCTCTTTCTTTCTTTCTTTCTTTCTTTCTTTCTTTCTTTCTTTCTTTCTTTCTTCTTTCCTTCTTTCTTTTTTGGCACCTTTTGCCAGTTCCTGGTTCATTAACCCAGCAGGCGCCCTGGTGCGGGCGATTGGCATCTCTGCCAATGAACCCAGGAAAAGCAGAAGCAAGAGGGAGGGAGAGTGATTCAGGACGAATGAATCCAAGATAAAATTGTTCCCAGCAGCCCCAGGCAGCAGGACTCTGACCCCAATTTGCTGGAGAGAAAATCCAGCTTCCCGGAAGACCAGATCTCTTTTAGCGGCTGCTTCTCGTGGGATCAAGAAGATCTGAGAAAACTGGGAGAATCCACCGATGGAAGCAAGCATGGAAGAAAATCCTTCTTTGGAGAACCTGATGCCAAATCCAGGGTAGGCCCTTTCATTCTCTCTTAAGACCCTTTGGAGAGCTGGTTTGGCGCGGTGGTTAAATAGAATACCGGTAGAATGGTATAGAACAGAATAATTCTGTTGGAAGGGGCCTTGGAGGTCATCTAGTCCAACCCCCTGCTCAGGCAGGAAACCCTCTCCCATTTCAGTCAAATGGTTGTCCAACCTCTTCTTAAAAACTCCCAGCGTTGGAACATTCACAACTTCTGGTGGCAAGCAGTTCCACTGGTTAATTGTTCTCCCTGTCAGGAAATTTCTCCTTAGTTCTAGGTTGGTTAGTTTCCATCCATCGTTTCTTATCTTGGCTTCTGGTGCATTAAGTCTTTTTAGCGGATTAGCATAGTTGGAAGGGACCTTGTAGGTCATCTAGTCCACCCCCACCCCCACGCAAGCAGGAGGCACTACCTACCCCATTTCTGACAAAGGGCTGTCCAATCTCTTCTTCAAGGCCTTCAGTGATAGACAACTCCACTGGGGTTAGTCGAAATCTGCCCTCTGGGCAGAGAATAGAATAGAATAGAATAGAATAGAATAGAATAGAATAGAAGAGAAGAGAAGCGAATAGAATAGAATAGAATAGAATAGAGTAGAATAGAGTAGAATAGAATAGAATAGAGTAGAGTAGAGTAGAGTAGAGTAGAGTAGAGTAGAATAGAATAGAATAGAATAGAATTTAGAAAATGAATAGAATAGAAATAGAATAGAATAGTAGAATAAAATAGAATAGAATAGAGTTTAAAAAATGAATAGAATAGAATTTAGAAAATGAATAGAATAGAATATAGAAAATGAATAGAATAGAAATAGAATTTTGAAAATGAATAGAATAGAAATAGAATAGAATAAAGTAGAGTAGAATAGAATAGAGTTTTAAAAATGAATATAATAGAATTGAATATAGAAAATGAATAAAATAGAGAATAGAATAGAATAGAAAATAGAATAGAATAGAATATAGAAAATGAATAGAATAGAGAATAGAACAGAACAGAACAGAACAGAACAGAATATTAAGAGTTGGAAGGGATCTTAGAGGTCTTCTAGTCCAACCCCCTCCTCAGGCGGGAGACCCTTATCCCCTTTCAGACAAATAGCCCTCCAATCTCTTCTTCAAAACCTCCAGTGTTGGAGACCCTTGTTCCAAAGAGTTTGGAAGGCAAGAGTGGGTGGGTGGGTGGGGGGTTCCACCTCTTCTCCAAAGCACCGAAGGCCGGACAAGGAGCACATGGTCCTTTCCAATGTGCTTTTTAAGCGTCGGAAGGTCATTCAACCCTCAAACAAAGGTTGCAGAACGTCCTTCCAAAGTGAAACCGCCACTCACCAATTTGCGCACGGCCCTTGCTGGTTGTTTCCGGGGACAGGGGGGGGGAACCTGCGTAATGGTCAAAAAAAGTCAAGATGGAGGCTGTGCCCGAAGGATCAAAGATGCACCTTTTTATTTGCCTCAGAATCCAATGTAAGAAAGGGCTTTATTCAATCATACCATCAGAATGGCGCTGGAAGGGACCTTGGAGGTCTTCTAGTCCAGCCTCTTGCTCAAGCAGGAGACCCTATCCCATTTCAGACAGTCTTTTCTTAAAAACCTCCAGTGATGAAGCACCCACAACTTCTGGTGTCAAGTTGTTCCACGGGTTAATTGTTCTCACTGTTAGGAAGTTTCTCCTTAGTTCTAAGTTGCTTTCTCTCCTTGATTAGTTTCCATCCATTGCTTCTTCTCCTGCCTTCTGGTGCTTTGGAGAATAGATGGATCCCCTCTTTTTTGTGGCAGCCTCTCAAATTCTGGAAGATGCTATCATGTCCCCCCTAGTCCTCCTTTTCTCTAGACTGGCCAAACGCAAATTCCTGCAGCTGTTCTTTATATGTTTTAGGGCCTTTGATCATCTTGGTTGCTCTTCTCTTTTCCAAAGTCCCAACATCTTTTTTGTAATGGGGTGACCAAAACTGGACGCAGGATTCCAGATGTGGCCTTACTAAAGGCTTTATAAAGCGGCACTACTCCTTCACGTGATTTTGATTCTATGCCTCTGTTTATACAACCAAGGATTTTTATTAGCTTTTTTGGCACATGGCTGGCTCATGTTTAAGGGATCGTCCACTAGGACTCCAGGATCCTTCTCACAGTTACTGTTTTTGAGACAGGTTTCACCTAATCTCTACTAGTACCTTTGATTTTTCCTGCCCAGGTGTAAAACCTTACTTTTCTCCAATAGAATAGAATAGAATAGAATAGAATAGAATAGAATAGAATAGAATATTGGAATGAAGAATAGAATAGAATAGAATAGAATAGAATAGAATAGAATAGAATAGAATGAATAGAATAGAATAGAATAGAATAGAATATTGGAATGAAGAATAGAGTAGAATAGAATAGAGTAGAGTAGCTTGCCTCAAATAACCTACAAATAAAATCCTTGGATGGATAAAAATGAAGCCTAACCCTAATATAAATTTGGACGAATGGGAGATGATTTGGAATAGAAACTATAAATTAACAAAAGCGGCAACGTACAAAGAAAGCCAATGTAAAATGCTATACAGATGGCACCTAGCGCCCGCAAGATTAGCAAAGATCTATCCAAATGTAAGCCCCAAATGTTGGAAGTGTGGATGTCACCAAGGTACTTTCTTTCACATGTGGTGGTCCTGTCCTGAAGCGATGAGGTATTGGAGAAAAATTCAAAATTGGCTACGAGAATCAACCAATGAAAAAATTGAATCGATACCTGAAACATTTCTCCTGGGAATACTAAAGACGAAATACCGGGGGGGAAAAAGATATTTAATCAAAAATGATCCGGTGGATAAAAATAATTCTAAACGAGCTAACTAAAGAAACAGTCCATATTTTTTTGGATCTGGACAGGATGAACAAACCCCGGAGAGGATGAAAGAAGTTCGTAGGTTTCATTTGAACTCTGTTTTTTTTTAAATTCTTTTTGCAGTTTATCCCTGGATTTGATCCATCTGCTGATCGACAACTTCAGCGTCCCCGAAGCGTGTTTCTCCCACCCGCCTTTTGCGCTGCAGCTGCTGCGACGTAAGTGTGCAACGCACAACCAAAGCGGAGGAGGCCACGTAATACAAGGAAGCTTATGCAGCTAGTCCTCAATTTATAACCGTCCGTTTAGTGGCCGTTAGGCCATTTCAACACTACAGGTAGTCCTCGACGTATGAACCACAATTGAGCCCAATATTACCACCGCTAAGTGAGACATCAGTTAAGTCTCCTTTTTACGACCTTTCCTGGCACAGTTGTTAAGCGAATCACTGCAGATGTTAAGTTAGTAACCCGGTTGTTAAGTGAATCTGATTGACTTCGCTTGTCAGAAGGTCGGAAAGAAGGCTGCAGTCAATGCTCATAAATCTGAAAAACAATCATAAGTCCCTTTTTTCAGTGTTGTTGTAACTTCAAACGGTCGCTAAATGAATGGTTGTAAATTGAGGATTACCTGTCCTGAAAAAATGTGAAGTACGACTGTTTATCACAACTGTGGACTGTTACAACATCCCCATGGTCACGTTGTCAAAATCTCCTGGCGATTGACTCAAAGTCACTCAGCTGAATTTTGATGGCGTAACCGCGGGGAGGCTGCCGCGGTCATAAGTGTGAAAAACGGTCGTAAGTCACTATTTTCAGCGTCGTTGTCACTTCGAGCGGTCACTAAAGGAACTGTTGTAAGTCAAGGACTACCTATAACTTATTCAGTCTAATTAGCTTTAATTCATTTTATATAATATAATATAATATAATATAAATATAATATATATAATATAATATAATATAATATAATATAATATAATATAATATAATATAATATAATATAATATAATATAAGCCTTGGTAGTACAGTGGTCTAAGGCACCCTGTTATTAAGCTGGTTATTAAGACCAGCTGCCTGCAATTACTGCAGGTTCGAATCTCCCCAGGCTCAAGGTTGACTCAGCCTTCCATCCTTTCTAAGGTAGGTAAATTGATATATATATATAATATATATATAATATAATACAATACAATATAATTAATATAATATAATACAATACAATACAATACAATACAATACAATACAATTAATACAATTAATACTATAATATAATATAATATAATATAATATAATATAATATAATATAATATAATATATGCACATAGTCCATCAGGTCCAATAGATAGAGATGGTTTTAGATTCCGTAGTGCCTTTTCAACATTGTCTTCTGTAAAATCAATATGTATAAGATCACCGTAATTGTTGTAATTGTCTGTAGTACAACTGGGAAATTTGGCGTATGTGTTGTTGCCGCTTTCAAAGACTGAGCCGAAGAACGTGTTAAAGAGATCTGCTTTAACGCTTTCGTCAATACAGTCTTTGTTGTTTGGTCCTTTTAGGGGTGGGATGGATCTCGAGTCTTTAAGTTTGTTGTTTGCAAAATTATAGAAGGCACGGGTGGATTTTGTGCGTAGAAGGTTTTCTTCTTGCTTGATGTGATAATTGGTGCATTCAGTCTTTATTTGTTGGCATAGGTTTTTGTAGCGGTTATAATTTAAATTATATTTAATATATAAAATTTAATTCATTTTAATCTGATAAAATGGTTATCTTATATATGCTTGACAAAATAAATAAAATAAAATAAATTACCGTACTTTTCGGAGTATAAGATGCACCTTTTTCCCCCCTAAAAGGGGGTGAAAATTTAGGTGCGTCTTATACACCAAATGTAGCCCCGCCCACCCACTGGCCCCCACCCTTTGGCCTCTGCCTCGCAGCAGTTACCTCCTTGCAGCAAGCAGCAAGAAAAAAAAAAAGCTCCTTTCAGCTTCAGCACAGCCTAATTAGCACAATGTTGATTGTATCGGCCTCCCGACTCTCAGCTGATTTGCTCTCAGCTGTTTTCCGCAGGGCTCTGCTGCTTGCTGCAAGGAGGTAAATTGCTGGGAGCAGATTTTATTTTTTTCCCTTGTGCTAATCAAGCTATGCTGAAAACGAAACTGAAAGTAAAGCAGGCTGTTTGCTGCAAGGAGGCAAAATTGCTGGGAGGCAGAGGCAGATTTCTTTCTCTTCTTTTCTCACCAAAAAAGGTAGGTGCGTCTTATAGTCCGAAAAATACGGAAGCTTGTTTTTCCTACTTTGCTCTTAGGGGCAAACGTAGGGCAGGCCGTTTGGCTCTCTGAGGGGGGAGTTCGGCACTTTCTCCCGCTAAAGGTTAAATGCGTTGGTGGTTGCAGAGCAGAACTTGGTGGACCTGGCCATCATCGGCATGGCGACCTTCCTCACCCTCGTGTCCGTGGTCATCTTCGTAGAGGACGCTCTCTATCTCTCCAAGAAGATCCGTTGCTTCGTCAAGATGAAAACTCTCATCTGGAGCAGCTCGGCACCCACAGTAAGCGCCCAGCATAGCTCTCCAGTAACCAAAAAAGGAGGAGGAGGAGGAGGAGGAGGAAAAAACTGTGAGGTTCTTGGTGCTCTCTAAGCTTGATGGTTTCCTTGCAAGCGTTTCATTACCAAACTAGGTAGCATCATCAGTGCAAGAAGGGAGTGGGGTGTGTGGAGAGGAGGAGAAGGAGAAGGAGAAGGAAGGTGGATTTTTTGCAGACGTTTCATGACCAAACTAGATAATTTCATCAGTGCTAGAAGAGAGTGGGGTGTGTGGAGAGGAGAAGGAGAAGGAGAAGGAAAGGAGAAGGAATGTGGGATTCTTGGTGCTCTCTGAGCTTGGTGGATTTTTTGCAGACGTTTCATGACCAAACTAGGTAATTTCATCAGTGCTAGAAGAGAGTGGGGTGTGTGGAGAGGAGAAGGAGAAGGAGAAGGAGAAGGAGAAGGAGAAGGAGAAGGAGAAGGAGAAGGAGAAGGAGAAGGAATGTGGGGTTCTTGGTGCTCTCTGAGCTTGGTGGATTTTTTGCAGACGTTTCATGACCAAACTAGGTAATTTCATCAGTGCTAGAAGAGAGTGGGTGTGTGGAGAGGAGGAGGAGGAGGAGAAGGAGAAGGAGAAGGAGAAGGAGAAGGAGAAGGAGAAGGAGAAGGAGAAGGAGAAGGAGAAGGAGAAGGAATGTGGGGTTCTTGGTGCTCTCTGAGCTTGGTGGATTTTTTGCAGACGTTTCATGACCAAACTAGATAATTTCATCAGTGCTAGAAGGGAGTAGGGTGTGTGGAGAGAGGAGGAGGAGGACTGTGGGGTTCTTGGTGCTCTCTGAGCTTGGTGTTTTTTTTTGGCAGACGTTTCATGACACAACTAGATAACAGCATCAGTGCTAGAAGGTTGAGCGCTAACCCCTCTCCCTTCTCGCAGTGATGATGTTAGCTAGTTGGGTAATGAAACATCTCCAGGAAAACCATCAAGCATCAGACAGCACTAAGGACTCCTTATTGCGCCTGGTGTCCTCAGGTTTTCCCGGAGAAGCGTTTGTGTGCTGGGTGACTTTGGGCCAATCCGGTGGACCAAACCAGGATATTAACTCCACATAAAGGCTAAAGTTACTTTTATTGAGATCGGCCGTGATATTTATTTTCTGCACAATAACCTTGCGAGGTGGGTTGGACTGAGAGAGAGAGTCCTTGAGCCAAAGTCACCCAGTTAGTTGGCATGTCTAAAGCAGGACTAGAACTCCCTGTCTCCTAGGGATTGGCTGAAACTCAACCTTGCTCGCTTTCATGCCCAAAGGCAGGACTAGAACTCACAGTCTCCTAGTCATTGGCCCAAGTTCAGCCAGCTAGCTACAGGACTAGAACTCCCTGTCTCCTAGGGATTGGCTGAAACTCACCCAGCTCGCTTTCATGCCCAAAGGCAGGACTAGAACTCACAGTCTCCTAGTCATTGGCTCATGTTCAGCCAGCTAGCTACAGGACTAGAACTCCCTGTTTCCTAGGGATTGGTTGAAACTCACCCAGCTCGCTTTCATGCCCAAGGCAGGACTAGAACTCACAGTCTCCTAGTCATTGGCCCAAGTTCAACCAGCTAGCTACAGGACTAGAACTCCCTGTATCCTGGTGATTGGCCCAAAGTCACCCAGCCGGCTTTCATGCCTAAATCAAGACTAGAATTCACTGTCGCCCGGTTTCTAGCCTTAGCCACTAGATCAAATTGTATTTTGCAAGTCTGGCTGTGTTTGTTACCTCACTTTCCTCCATATCATTCCTGGAGTCAGGGAAGTATCTGCCTGAGCTGAATTTGAACATTATCTGGGTATTCTGGACTTAAAAAACACTTCAGCCCCTAAATATTAATTTATTCCATGTTAATCCATGTTAGCTGCCAGAATTGTTATTGCAAATGTAGGAAGAAAAATCCATCTGGTTCAGTTCCAAACTGGGAGCAAGGCACTGGAAATAAAACGGAGACCGCATGGAAAGAAGGTCTCTGTTTATTGATGAGCAAAACCAACAACAGCATGCAGTTCTGGGGCAGCTGACATAACGGTTGAATGAGTGGATGGATCTTTATAGGGTTCTGTGACTTTGAAGTCTGGGGATTGTGTAATGAAGGGGTTTTTTGGGTCTCTTGCTATTTCCGTGGTGGTGGGTTTATGTCCTAAAAGGTCAGGTCCTGTTCTTAGAATTTGGGTGGAGAGGGGTGTAAATTTTAATACCATCAGCTGGAGGTGAAGGTGTTTTGTCTGTGAGTAGGCTGGCCCAGTCTTTCTTAATGGGCACAAAATATCCATATCTAAAGACTTCAGGCATCTGCTGGAGGTTGTTGGGGGCAGCTTTCTGCCTCTAAGAACATGTTTCTCCATTTCTCCTTTGGGCAAATATAACATTCTACCTCTTAATATCCCCTAAAATATTTCATTCTTGGGGGGGGGGGGGGGGGGGGCTTCCCAGACAAGCCAAAATTCTCATTGTCACTACGCAGGAGGCAGAATCCTAGTCCATACCTGGTGGGCACCCAGTTGGAGAGGCTGATTCTTGTTTTACTTTTTGACTTGCAAGCTACCCACCCAACGGCTCCACCAATTAAGACTGGTTTTGAATGCTCTCTGCTGGGGGTCTCCGACCGTAGCCCCTGGCTCCCATGCTGTTGTGTCTTCTTTCCTTTCTCTGCTAGGCTGTCTCCGTCTTCTGCCTGCTTGGACTGTGGGTGCCCCGGGCCATGACGTACGTGGAGATGGGCATCGGCGCGTGAGTATCTCCCTCCAGGGTGATCTTCTGGAGCTGAGCGGAATTGACACTCAGGAGTGGGGATGGGGATGGGGCTGGACCGGTGGTCCCTTTTTGGATGACCGTGGATGGAGAGATGGCTGAAGACCTTTGAGATGAAGGATGGGGCTGGAAGGTCTTCTACTCCTACCCAGTGCCCAAGGTCATAGATTCGTAGAGCTGGAAGAGACCTTGGAGGTCTTCTATTCCAACCTCCTGCTCAAGATCATAGAATAATGGGGCTGGCGGGGACTTCAGAGGCCCTCTAGTCCAACCCCCTGTCCAAGTTCATAGAATCCTAGGGACCTTGGAGGTCTTCTATTCCAACCTCCTGTTCAAGCCAGGGGCCTTAATACCATCTCAGACAAATGGTGGTCCAATCTATTCTTGAAAACTCCCAGTGATGGACCAACTCTGGAAGGCAAGTTCTTCCACTGATTAATTGTCCTGTCAGAATATTGTTGGATCTTATGTTTGGGGTGAGCAACCATCGTCCACCACACCTCAAATTTTTTATATACAATGTAAAAAAAAAGATGTGGAGACTCTAGAAAGAGTGCAGAGAAGAGCAACCAAGATGATTAGGGGACTGGAGGCTCAAACATATGAAGAACAGTGGCAGGAACTGGGCCAGAGGTGGGTTTCAGCAGGTTCTGACCAGTTCTGGAGAACCGGTAGTGGAAATTTTGAGTAGTTTGGAGAACCGGCAAATACCACCTCTGGCTGGCCCCACCCCCATCTATTCTCTGCCTCCCGAGTCTCAGCTGATCGGGAGGAAATGGGGATTTTGCAGTATCCCCTGCCATGCCCACCAAGCCACACCCACAGAACCGGTAGTAAAAAAATTTTGAATCCCTCCACTGAACTGGGCCTGGCTGGTCTAGTGAAGAGAAGGACCAGGGGAGACAGGAGAGCATCTTCCAATGTTTGAGGGGTTGCCACAGAGAGGAGGAAGGGGGTCAAACTATTTTCCAAAGCAAAAGGAAGGAAGGAAAGAAGGAGGGAGGGAGGGAAGGAAGGAAGGAAGGAAGGAAAGAAGAAAAGAGGAAGGAAGGAAGGTGGAAGGGAGAGAAAAAAAAGACAAACAGAAAGACAGAAAGAAAGAAAAGAAAAAGAAAGAAAGAAAGAAAGAAAGAAAGAAAGAAAGAAAGACATCTGAGTGAACCATAGATGGACAGAAGACATGGCTAGTCTAGTGAAGAGAAAGACCAGGGGAGACATGATAGCATCTTTCAATATTTGAGGGGTTGCCACAGAGAGGAGGGGGTCAAACTATTTTCCAAAGCAAAAGGAAGGAAGGAAGGAAGGAAGGAAAGAAGGAGGGAGGGAGGGAGGGAAGGAAGGAAGGGAGGGAGGGAAAGAAAAAAACAGACAGAAAGACAGAAAGAAAGAAAGAAAAAGAAAGAAAGAAAGAAAAAGAAAGAAAGACATCTGAATGAACCATAGATGGACAGAAGACATGGCTAGTCTAGTGAAGAGAAGGACCAGGGGAGACAGGAGAGCATCTTCCAATACTTGAGGGGCTGCCACAGAGAAGAGGAGGTCAACTTATTTTCCAAACCACCAGCAGGCAGAAGAAGCAACGGATGGAAACTAACCAAGGAGAGAAGCAACCTGGAATTAAGGAGAAACTTCCTAACAATGGGGACAATTAACCAGTGGAACAGCTTGCCACAAGAAGTTGTGGGTGCTCCATCACTGGAGGAGGTTTCTAAGTAGAGATTGGATTGAAATGGCATAGGGTCTCCTTCTTGAGCAGGGAGGGGTTGGACGAGAAGACCTCCAAGAAGGCCCCTTCCAACTAACGTTCTTCTGCTCTTCGGCTCCATTATCTCTACCTAATGATGGCTTTGGCTTGGCTTCTCCCCACGTAGATATTTCGCCGTCTGTTTTTACCTGACGATGTTGATCATGGTGGAAGGCTTTGGAGGGAAGGAAGCTGTGCTCAAGGCCTTGAAGGACACCCCCATGCTGATCCGGACGGGGCCTTGCTGCTGTTGCTGTCCCTGTTGCCCCCCCATCACCATGACCAGGTGAGTGGAAAGCAGGAGAGGTGTCAGGGTCCCAAGTAATACACCCATAGCGAAAAAGAACTCTGAGGCAGGCCAATTCTTCAAAGAACAGTTTTATTGGATATATCATATTGGCACAGGCTTAATGTAGGTAGGTAAATGCGGGTCCAGCTGGATGATCACTGAAGGGCCCTCTTTATTCATAGTGTTGTAGGAAAGGAAATGTGCTTGTTTGAGGGCAGCCAATTAACTCCAGTTGAAAGGAGAGAATTCCTTTGAAGTAGAAACATTCAGAAGAAGGGGCCCCTCAGTTGTCAGAGATACAAGCATTTGGTGATATACAGTTTGAAGGTTAAAGAGATCAAGGATGACCACATGTAATATTAACAAGAGATAATTTGAATCTATGCTTCAGTAATCTACATAAAGAATTATGAATGTTGGCAAAGAATAATATGAAACAGTAACTAGGAAGTGTCAATTAAAAATGACAAATGTATATGATCACATAAACTGCTGAGTTAACAGAATCCTTTGTCTAGAAGGGTATAAAACCATTGTAGCTAATTTCTGTCTTTGTTCAACGCTTCATGTACAGAGCTTTGAACCTATTGCGCAATATACATTGTCTCTGATTAACCCTGAAAAGTTGTGTTGGTCTTATTAAATCCACAACAGGCTGGTGGAAACCGACTCTGAATGTTCCCGCGGTTTTCACCTAATTCAAAGTAAAAGTCTTCCTCCTTCCCCAATCGGTCACATGGTCCAATCACTGTGCCGTCTGGTTGCCTATGTTGTGGCCCGCCAGCGGCCAGCAGATCTGGCAGCAGATTCGGACAGTGAGGAGGTTGGGGAGGAACACGGACCAGTCCTGGAGTCTGGGGAAGGCACTGCATCAGAGGCAGAGACAGGGTCGGGACCGCCTGATAGTTGTCAGCTGCCTTCGGAGTCGGACATCAGTGGGGCAGAAGAACAGCTGGGGCCTGTTCCCAGTGTGCGCGTGCGCAGAGCTGCCAGGAGAAGGGAACAGCTAAGGAACAAGGGTCGACTCAGGAGTAAAGCCACAAGTGGACGATGAAGGGCCCCTCCCAGAGGGAAGAAAAAAGGAGCGAAAGGGGAGTGGAGTTTGCAGGAGACAATTAGTTCGCTTAATGGGTTCGTGACTCTCCGAGACTCCTTGCCAAGTTTTGAAGATATCGGCCTGGCAGCTCTCCAAGCCAGATAAGGCCTGTGTCTGTAAATTCTCCCTTGAAAGACTTCGCTGGATGGGAATGAGAGGAATTGACAGTAACTTAATAAAAAGTTTGGGTTTTTGTCGGGACCAGGAGTCTGCTTCATGCTCTTGGGAAGCCTAGGTCAGTCTGGTAACTTCACTCCTCCTCTCTTCGACCACCCGCCGGAATGTCCTTGGTTCCCAGGAGAAAGTATTTTGTTTTGGCTACAAAACCCCAGCTCTCTCTCTCCCCCCCCACCCTCCTATCCCTCAGCTCCAGCGTGGCAGCATTGAAGCCTCAAAATGGCCTCCGTCCAGTCAGCTTCAGGGTTGACAAGAGGCTGCCTCTGTGATGTAGGAATCCACACAGACACCAGAGGGCAGCAGAGAGCTGCGGTTTTGAGGACACCCGGTGGACACCACAGGTTCTGCAGGCCTGTCCTTGAAGGAAGCCCTTCATGGATTTTTGTGGACTCGTGTTTCTGGTTGGCCACGGTGGGCTGCAACATGAAGACTAGATGGGCTTCTCCTCGGTCCAGTAGGCGCAGTCCTCGACATATGACCACCTTTGAGCCCAGAATTTCTGTTGCTAAGCGAGAAAGTTGTCAAGTGAGTTTATCAACTGCAGTGATTCACTTAACAACTGAGACAGGAACGGTCATAAAAGGGAGCAAAGTTCACTTAACAAATGTCTCACTTAAACAACAGAAATGTTGGTCTTAAGGAATTTGCAGAGCAACCCTAGAGTAGCAAGGGTGTGCACATGAAAGCGATTGAGAGCAGTTGCGAATAAATACAGCCAACACACAGATACACTGAGTTGTGTTTACTTTCAGGAAATAAGGCACAGTCCAATAAACAGTCCAGGTCATACACAGATAAAGCAGTAGATAGTAAAACAATAGTCCAGCGATATTCCAATATCAAAGTCTTCTTACCAGTTGTCGTAGTCATACACAATAAACAGTTGCAAACAGTACCAAACACAGCACAGAGCAGTAACAATCAGCAAAGAGCATCAAAGAGCATCAAAGAGAAACAAACCCTGTTTCAAGCTCTCTCTTAAGGACATTGGCTACAGAGCTAACCAATCAGGATACAGTATGATGCAATACAGCAATACAGTCTTAAAGCTATAATGCTGGTGTCAGGTTTTCAGGCCGTCTTCAAATAAATTGCGTCTCAAACAAAGTCTTTTTTGAAACAAACTTCCATTTTATTTAGCACGGCAACTTTTACACTGACTCCATGCAGCCAGCACTGAGGTGCTGACCCAAAATCCCTCCTCTTCCTTCCCCCACTCCTCTGCATTCATTGGCCATCTTCCCAATCATTCACCCCTAATCTACTGCTCCAACTCAAAGAATTTCCCCCCTCCCATCCATCTCCTAGGGGACATTATCTCCAGATAAAACAAGTAGGTGAAAGGCAACCGTCCCGTTGCAGACACTTGCGTTCTCCTTCTCATGTCAGCACTAGGATAAATGCATCTTGACGTGCTGACATCTGGTTTATATATTGCCATCCCAACAAGTTAGGTAATTATCATTTCCTAACAGTTGGGCTCAATTGTGGTCGTAAAATCGAGAACTACCTGTAGTCCGGTTGCTAGAGGTTTAATCCAAGGATAACGGACCTTTTTCCTTCTATTCCCTGCAGACGGAAACTCCAAATAATGTTGCTAGGCGCCTTCCAGTACGCCTTCCTTAAAGTCTCCTGCAGTTTCCTGGGCCTCGTTTTAAGCACCGAAGGCTTGTACGACACGGCCGATGTAAGTGGCATCCGGGCCCTGGCAGGTGGGTGGGTGGGAGGGAGACCCCAAAGCATCTTTTCCTTCTGCCTCTTTACGGAAGAACAGAAAAGAAGAAGAGAAAAAACACACGAGGTCGTGTTAGCCCTTTCCTTCCCGAGGACAATGGGGGAGGATTGGAAGAGGTGGTTTGGTGGTAGACGTTTCCTGACCCAGCTAGCATACATCCTCAGTGCTAGAAGGGAGTGGGGTTTGCAGAGAGGAGGAGGAGGAGGAGGAGGAAGATTGTGGGGTCCTTGGTGCTCTCTGAGCTTCGTAGTTTTCTTGCAGACATTTCATTACCAAATTAGGTAACATCATCAGTGCAAGAAGGGAGAGGGGTGTGGGGGGAGGAGGAGGAGGAGGAGGAGGAGGAGGAGGAGGAGGAGGAGAACTGTGGAGTCTTTGGTGCTCTCGGAGTTGGGTTGTTTTCTTGCAGATTTTTCATTACCTTCATTACTCCCTTCTAGCATTGATGATGTTACCCAGCTGGGTCATGAAATGTCCGAAGAAAGAAATCAACCCAGCTCAGAGATCACCAAGGATCTCACAGTCCCCTCCTCCTCCTCCTCTCTGTAAACCCCATTCCCTTCCAGCACTGATGATGTTAGTTAATTGGGTCATGAAATGTGTGAAGTTTCCGAAAGATGCCCTCCTCTCTGGCCATGTCATAAATCACATTCTCCAATTAACCACTTTGGCTGGCTGTGAAACCCAACACCCTCCTTCTGATTGCGGTCAGGGAGAATGTATGGAATGCAGCTTCAGTTAGGGAAATCAATCCGCTCTATCAGTTCTCCCTTCCTCCTGCTCATGGCAACTTGAAAGCTTTGCAAGTTGACAAAATGTCTACAAGGAAACATCAAGCTCAGAGAGCACCAAGGACCCACAGATAACAGTTCATGCCCCCAAATTTCCAGGGATGATTCTGGGAACGAAAGTCTGATCGACTTGGGGAAACCAGGGCCAAATATTTAAGAGCTCAGGAGCGCATGGATCCTTCTGCCAGCCCAGCCCAGCCCAGCCCAGGAGCCTCTGGCATTCAGCCTTGTTGGCATCTCTTCTTCTTGCCTCTAGATTTCAGCCACAAGTGTGGCGCTTTGGATCAACACCTTCCTTGGCGTGTCCACCCTCTTTGCCCTCTGGTCGCTGGCCATCCTCTTTCGGCAAGCCAAATCTCACCTCGCAGAGCAGAACATGACGGGCAAATTCGTTTGCTTCCAGGTAATTCTAGGGGTATATGAAGGTATATAGCAGTGATGGCTAAACTTTTTGCCATCACAGGCCAGGAAGGGGGGGCGGGGAAGGTTTGCGAGCATGCATGTGCCCACAACCATAATTCTATGCGCCCTGTCCTGCGCATGCATGCATGACCCTCCCTCCCCGCCCCCCGCTCCTGGCACACAATGGCACAGTAGGCCCGTTTTTCTTTCTCACCTTGCTCCAGTTCCTCTCTATGCATCTGGGGAGGGCAAAAACAGCCTTCCCCACCTCCTCGGAGGCCCGAAACGGCCCGTTTCCCAACTTACGGTTGGACAGGAAGTGACATTTTTTTGTTGTCCCCAGCCTCCAGAGACTCCTAGAGAGGCTGCGCTGGTGTGCCAGGTGACATGGCTCCGTGTGCCACCTGTGGCACGCGTGCCATAGGTTCGCCATCATGGGTATATAGCAATGATGGCTAACCTTTTTGCCATAGCGTGCCAGGAGTGGGGCGGGGCGGGGGAAGTTCCCACATGCACGTGGCCACACCCATAATTCTATGCGCCCTGCCCTGCACATGTGAGCACAATCCCCCCTCCCCCCCACTCCTGGCATGTGATGGCCAGGTAGGCCCATTTTTCTTCCTCACCTGGCTCCAGATCCTCTCTATGCATCTGGGAAGGGCGAAAACAGCCTTCCCCACTCCCTTGGAGGCCCTACGGAGACCTGAAATGGCTCATTTCCCAACTCCCGGTGGGACAGGAAGTGACCTTTTTTGCTGTCCCCAGCCTCCAGAGCCCCCCTCTCTCTCTCAGAGCTGAGCTGGCGTGCCCACTGATATGGCTACGCGTGCCACCTGTGGCACACATGCCATAGATTCACCATCACGGGTATATAGGATCTCCTGCTTGACCTTCAAGGTCCCTTCCAGTTCGATTCTGATTCTGAGATATCTCAACTTGTTCAAGATCTCTCTGGCTTGATCTGCTTTCAGGTCCTCCTCATTCTGGTGGCCTTGCAGCCGTCCATCTTTAGCATCTTGGCCAGCGGGGGTCAAATCGCCTGCTCCCCACCGTTCTCCTCCAGAGCCCGAGGCCAGCGTAAGTTTCGGGGGGTTAAATCAAGATTTCCACAAGCTGATCTCCTCTCCATAAGTTGCATTCCGATTCTTGTAATTCCCAGAATCCTCCATGCATATTTCCCACAATGCTCTTGTACAAAATAGCTTCTCTCAGCCTAGATCTGGGCTCTAGATTTGCTACAAGAGAGCTTGGGAATGATGGCTCCTTTATGACTTGTGGACTTCAACTCCCAGAATTCCTGAGCCCGTATGGCTGGTTGAGGAATTCTGGGAGTTGAAGTCCATCATGGCTGGTTGAGGAATTCTGGGAGTTGAAGTCCATCATGGCTGTTTTATGAATTCTGGGAGTTGAAGTCCATCATGGCTGGTTGAGGAATTCTGGGAGTTGAAGTCCATCATGGCTTCAAATTTTAAAATAGGTTTTAAATTGATTGGGGTTTTAATTTGTCGGGGCCAAAACTATTTAATTTGATTTTAATTCCACTTTTAAATTTTGTATGTATGTATTTTATTGTTTGGCTGTGCACCGCCCTGAGTTCTTCGGGAGTAGGGCGGTATAGAAATCAAATCAAATAAATAAATAAAATAAAATGGCTGGCACAGGAATTCTGGGAGTTGAAGTCCATCATGGCTGGCCCAGGAATTCTGGGAGTTGAAGTCCATAAGTCATAAAAAGGAACATTCCTCACCCTTGTGCTAGAACGAAACTTCCAGGATGCCCAAAATTTTCCAAGTAAGGTGATGGGGGGAAAAACGGAGTATATTGGAAGAAATGTAGCAATTTCGTAGAACTAAATCTGGAAAATCTGCAATGAATTGTGGTTATCCATTCCTTGACTTACGACCACAGTTGATTGGCCAACTGTGATCAAAACCTCTGTTACTAAGTGAGGATTTGTTAAGTGAGTTTTGCCCCATTTTATGACCTTTCTGGCCACTGTTGTGAAATGAATCACTGCAGTTATTAAGTTAGTAACACGGTCGTTAAATGAATCCCGCTTCTCCATTGACTTGGCTCATCAGAAGGTCACAAAAAGGAATCATGTGACTCCGGGATGCTGCCACCATCCTAACCATGAGCCGGTTGCTAACTGATGGGGAGCAGCTCACTTAGTGACTGTCTTGCTTAGCAACGGAAATTTCGGGCTCAGTTGTGGCCATAAATTAAGGATTACCCATAGTGGGCAGCAAACACCAGCAGCTCCCAAAGTCAAATGCAGCGACTACACTTTCCCAGCTAGCACGGCAGGGGTGAAATGCTCCCGGTTTGGACCAGATCGCCCGATCTGGTAGTGATGGAGGCGGGTGGTTCGGAGAACTGGCAGCAAAAATCCCTGCCCCCCCGGCCCCCATGCCCAGCTGAGCCGCGCGATCATCAGAGGCTTTTTTTTTAACTTTTAAAAGCATTTTTTCAGCTGAAGAGGTTGTAGAAAAACGATCCCAGCTGAGTTGCCTGATCGGCAGAGGCTTTTCTTCTTTTAAATGCCTCTGACGATCCCAGCTGAGTTGCCTGATCGGCAGAGGCTTTTTTCTTTTAAATGCCTCTGATGATCCCAGCTGAGCTGCCTGATCGGCAGAGGCTTTTTTTCTTTTAAAAGCCTCTGACGATCCAAGCTGAGTTGCCTGATCGGCAGAGGCTTTTCTTCTTTTAAATGACTCTGACGATCCAAGCTGAGTTGCCTGATCGGCAGAGGCTTTTCTTCTTTTAAATGCCTCTGACAATCCCAGCTGAGTTGCCTAATCAGCAGAGGCTTTTTTTCTTTTAAAAGCCTCTG